CCTGAAGCTGAAGCTAAGAAAGAAGACTCAGATGATGACTGAGCTTGATTTTGTGCACAATTATTGTCATTGAATTATGATCAAAAATATTTTAATTGGAAATTATAAGCTACTGTCACCACAACTTCATATTATTTTTCTACTATATTCAATAACTTACTTCACTTGTATTAAATATTGTATTCTTTTGACCAATGCTCCCAAACTTTCTTTGTTCAAAACAAAATACCTGTACAAATATGCTAAATGATTGGAGAGGAACAAAAATCAATTTTTTTAAAAGTACCTCATACAAAAATAAGCTTTATTATCACACAAGGATATTTACAACTGTTAAACTAAGAACAAATAGTACGATGAACAAAAACAAATTAAATTAGAACACTGGAATTTCCTATAATCACACAAATACATACTTCCTAAAATTACACAACTACTGGCAGAAAATATCCCATTTAAACTTGGGATTGAAGGACTCAATGTTTGAAACTGACTTAGAAATACGTTTAACTACTGCATTTATAGTTTTGATACATCCTGCCATGAATTCATCGAGTCAAGAAATGATGGTATGATTCCATTATTTTGTTATACATCTGAAACATTTTCCAGCAGAAACACTATAAATATGAAGTAACCATTGAACTAGTAAATCATAACATTAAACTAGAATTAAAGGTAAAGGGTGGTATCTTTATCCCACAGGCAAGCTTGTGGCTTAGGTTTGACCTTTTTCTTTTCTATGTTCCTTGGCGGAGTGTTTTCACACTGCACATGTTTCTTTCCTTTCTCCTTGAAAACAGGGATTTTGCTGACAGCATCATTATTAGAATTGGACTTTCTTGGCCTGTCACTGACTTTCAGCTTTGGAACAAGCTTTTTCTTTCCTGCGTCACCATTCAAATTTTGCAAAGGAGACCTGATATTGTATTCTTTTAAAGTTGCTACTCTTCTATAAACACTTACATCAGCATCTTCATATATTAGATCTGTCAGTTTCTTGTCAAACTCGATTAGATCTTCTTGTATATTAACACAAGGTGACATTGGAGCAGACTTGGTTTGTTTAACTGATGATGTTTCTTCCATGATATTTTTAGCTGCTGGAGGAGTTACTGGAGCTGATTTTAGTTCCCTTTGATCTATCTCAGGAGTTACATTCAGTGGTCCTCCTAATATCAATGTTTCATTAGCATCATCTAGCATTGGTATAGACTGTTCAAACTCAGTTTCAGCTGGTTTTGGCTCTATAGCCTCTTTGGCAAGTATCTTTGGACTATCACCTACAAGTACATCTACATTTGTACTAAGCTGTTGTTCTACGTCTGGTTCGACTTCATCAGGTGCAATTACACATTCGTTCACTACTTTATCTACAATTTCATCAAGTATATTCCTTATCATCTCCACATCACTTTGGTTATCTTCTGCATCCAACTGTATTTCTCCTATTTTTCTGACATTCTGAATTGGAGTACGTAAGAAATCGGTTGTCGGAGATCTAGGATCAATATCCTTAGTTTCAACTATAGCAATTTTCTTAGGAGTATCTAACGCAACTTTACATTTCTCTTGGAATGCAACATCTATGTCAGTTTCTGTGTAATCAATGTTAGTCTCCAATAAACCAACAAACGATTTCCTCTTACAAGAGTCTGGTTTTGGCCTTATAGGACTACTCTCCAATAATTTTGGTGGTACAATATTTCGTTTAGTAATATGGTTTATCGTTGGGTTTACCGAATCAACATCGCCCTGCAGCCGTTTTTCCAAATTTTTAGTATGAACCTTCTTCAACAAGTCTTCCTTATCATTGACAATGATTGGAGTTCGTTTGAACTCAGTTGTTGGAGATCGAGGGTCGTCAGCAAGAATATACGCGGTACTTTTTAGTGGAGTTGCATTTTCTTCATAGAGTTCCTCCAACTTATCTGCCGCGGCACTTAAAACCTACAAAATTGGGTGTTATGAAATACAAGTAATAGATAAGAACATAATATAATACTACCTCCAGTGGTGTTCTAGCGATGTTAGCACTGGGAGATCGAGGATCCCAGTCATTTTTTCTTATTGCTAACGGCGTTATTATTGGAGTTGAAGGGATGCTTGCTTCATGAAGCACTTCTTTGTCCAGTTGTTTTCCTACTTTGCTATTTGTTATTCCCATAACTGCTTCGTTGCATACAAGCAACTTTGTTGGTACGTTACACAATTATTACTCAAAGATTAACTATCATTCAGGATACACTTTTAAATAGTTTTTAAACAAGGAATAAAAACAGAGTGAGAAAAAACCGTTAAAAATGTTTGAGCACAAAACATATTATACACCACAGAACACATAAAACTGAAGAAGTGGGAGCTGCACGTTAAACAACGGCAACACCGTTGACGTTTTGCCAGATGGATGCGCCGCCTACTTATCTGGAGGAACTATTGAAGGAATTCAAAGAATGCGCTGGGAGATTAGAAATGCGCCGAAGGTTTAGTTTATTTACAATTTAAATCTGCTGAAAGTGATATTTTCCATATTGAAGAAATATTTTATGAGCATAGACGCTTAAAATATCCTCAATAAAGGAAATACCTGATTCAGCAATTTTGCTGGCAACTAATTTTGGGACAATAAAAAATAAATGCGTAATTAATAAAATATTTATTAAATAGTTAAATATATGAATAATAATAAGTAATAATTTATCATCACAGTACATTGCTAATATATAAAGGTATTTTTAGACATCCGGAGCTTTCTCTATATTAAGTGAATAAGTGATGTTTCAAAAAAAAAAAATACAAATCATACATTAGTAGCATAAAAAACAATAAAAAGGGACCCTCAGTAATTAAAGAAAGTGTTTAGCAAGCACTACCTTTTGTTAATCCATCATGAGGTATATTTATCATTAAAACGTAAACATTCATACTAAAACAACAACAAATAAATCTCTGTAGTTAAACAAATAACTAAAATAAAAATATAATCTGACAAAAAAACATTATTTTTTATAGTGCTAAAATGAGGAATATTTTCTTCAAAGACGGAATCAAAGTTAAAAATAAACAAGACATTCCTCATACTTAAAACCAAAAGCTCCTGATGACTTTAACATTACAGGGAGTAACAAAATAAATAATTATTCTTCATCCAACTGCTCCCTCCAAAGGATGCTGCAACTATGAAACAAAAAAATATTGTTTAGGGATAATATCACAGCAGTATTTGATTACTGAAAGTAAATAGAAAATTCAATGAATGAAGAGTGCTGGATTACATAAAAAAACATTACCTGACTTTAGCTGTCTTGAATTTCTTAATTGTTGATATACGACTATTGATAGTCTCACCACTCCTTTTTAAATAATTTCTCTTTACATATTGGTAAATTCCCAACCGAGCAGTTTTTTCAATTATACCTTTTGCTACATCATGCTGCTGACAAAAGCTGTAATTTTTAAGGATGCAGGAATACTTCTGTTTAAATTTAACTTCCAGTTGGTCTTCTGTACCATGCTGCTCTAAAAATGCATACAGCTTTTCATCCAGAAGACCAATCAGGTTAATTAAATCTTCACTTGCATACTTCAATCGCTTTTCCTCATCATGCTCTTTAAACATCACAAATAGATGTTTTTCAGTGACAACCAAAGAAAACCCTTGCACAGGACTCATAATTACTATCAATTTTGAGTCTGTCCAAAATGTACCCATCCACATAATCATTTGACGGATTCCATTCAACAGAACTGTCCATTATTTCCATGTCAGAGTCACTTAATCTCAGGGTCTAAATCAAGCATTATTTTGGTCATATTTATCCAAAAAAGTTACTGAAATCGACCAAAGTATCACAAAAAAATTGATTACACAATTACCTTTAGAAAAGGGTGTGCTGAAATTATTAATAATTACTGCTTGTAAGGCAGCAACAACTGATGACAAGTGGGATTTGTATTGAGGATACCATGCTGTCTTACTTGACTAAATAAATTTTCCAGGGAATCTTGATTTAAATTTCTCAAACAAAGATATTTCAAGCCCTTCTCCTTAAGATCCCTCCATAGTGACATAACAGATCTAATTGTTATTTGCCAGCCTTCAACAAATTTGAAATAGTTTGATTTGTTAACACCATCAACAATGAAAATTGATTTTAATTTGGATAGCCTTGAGCAACATTCTGGTGGACTTTATACATAAATGATTCCTTAGGGCTCAATTCCTTTTTTGATGTACCAGATTTTGTTGATATGCCAGAGCCCTTGTCTAACAAAAAGGAATATTTATCTAAATAATTATTAGATTCTGTTCTAGAACCACTTCCACTGATTTCAATGTTTTGATCTTCCAGAATAACACTGGAATTTTAATTTTGCTCAGAAGGGGTTGGATTTGTGGTAGCCTCTCCAGAAGGAGGGTCATTGACTAAAACTCTAGATACTGAACTGGGACCTGGTTTAGTAGGATGACTATTATTTGAATTTAAAACTGTATTTGGGGACACTGGTATGTATGGTAAGATATCTGAGACGTGAAGGATCTTGCGGATTATTATTATTATAATAATAGGAATTTTTGCAAGAAGGATATTTGCATGAGTAGCGATGTACGAAGAGGCAACCCCAAATCCAGACATGACTGATTTACAAAAGAAAAACAAGCTTATTGAAGTATGCAATCTTAAGTATTCCTGCACACAATCACAAGTTTTACATTGAAAAATATATGGCAAAGGTTATTAGTACTATTACTATATGAAGATTATGAACGATAATTTCTCGATTGAGAATTAAATCAATAATTAAAAATTTAATGTGTAGCTTGCCCGAATCAAAACACAGACACAGATTGATAACAAACTGGAAGTTCCCAGGGAAAGTCAAACTGTCGTTTGTCAAAAATCAAACTCTGTTGGTAAGAAAGTGTCCTGGATTTTGCCTGGAGATTTATGTGTTTTGTGCCTGGAGAGAATGACCTTGGTGTTGCCAGTTCGCCCATAAGACGTTTCACGCCCGCACTGACTTTTGAGAGCACAGTATGACAGTAATCAAGATTAATCAAGAAAACACGGAAAGGGTAACAATACAGAAGGTGAGATTTCAAGGACATGTAAGGCCCCACTAGCCCATTTTTAAAATTCAACGAGTAGGAAATAGGGCGTGGTTTTACAAGTTGGTTTTCTACGTGATAGGCAGAATCTTTTTTAATTGCTTTTATTAAAGTAACCTCCCTCCGCACTTATGGTATTTGCATTCTATTACTTCATTTTTAGTCTGTGGTTTTCCTGGCAGTGACAGATAAAAACTTTAGGGAGGTTAACTTTTTTGTTGTGGATAACATATGGAATTTGAAATCCAACATTTTAAAAAGACAAAGTACGAAATAGTGCAATTAAAATATTAACAAGGCACCCAAAGTAAAACTTGGAAATCTCAGGTGCACTATTTTTTCTAAAAAAGTGATAATACTCCAAACAATGTGCAATAGAGTGTGAAAAATGGAGCGGTATGCCACGTTACTATTTGCGCTATCAGCGCACATATTATTATCGGACTTTGTGAAGCCCATTTATGCTCAGCAGCCACCCGATCATCAGCCCATTCAACATCAACAGCAGTTACCCTCTCAACAAGTACCAGTTCAGCATCAACAAATGCCCCCACAGCACCAAGTACCTCTACAACATCAGGAAGTTCAGCATCAACAGGTTCCTGTACAGCATCAACAGGTACCTATACAGCACCAACAGGTTCCTGTACAGCACCAACAGGTACCAGTACAGCACCAACAGGTACCAGTACAGCATCAACAGGTACCTGTACAGCACCAACAGGTACCTGTACAGCACCAACAGGTGCCTGTTCAGCACCAACAGGTACCAGTACAGCATCAACAGGGTCCACCCCAAATGCCCCAGATGCATTATCAACAAGAGTTACCTCCACAACATATGCAGCAACAAATTCCAATGACCACAGTTCCATGGTATGAGAATCTCCCAGCTGTTGCAATGGACTACAAGGTTTACATTGAGCCAGGGAAGGAGGACTGCTACTTTCAGTATGTGAACCCAGGAGCCACATTTTATGTCAGTTTTCAGGTAAGCAATTTCTGATTCTGCAGATAATGAAAAACTTACAGCACCTAGTATCTTGTAAAGAGGCCCATCTTTATATGTACTTTGCATGTTATTTTTCAATTAACATTTTGCTGTAATTTTCCAATATGGAAGGGTCATTTGTTGAAATGGTGTAAAACAATGTAACTCTGACGTCTTGAGTTCAATGTGTATGAGACAGAAGAGCGAGAAGTGTGTATCAAAACATGTTAGAAAGAGATAGAAGCCGGCTGAAGGGCAAAGGTCATACCAAATTGCCAAGCGAAGTTCGCACGCAGAAGTTCATGCACTATACAGACTCGACACAATTCACAATTAATATTTTCAACAAGCACCTTAATTCAAGGAACTGGTATTGGCAACGCGGCCGATTCGGCGTCAGCGTTGCTAGGCGGAGATGAGCCTCGCTATCCACGCGGCTGCTATCTGTTTCTAATATGTATATGTCTATACACACCTCTCTCGTACGCATTAAACTCAGCCGTCAGACAAATTTGGTTCTCAATGTACATGTATTGCATTTTAATATTGACCTGGAAATCAACTTCAAACCTTTAAGGTTGTAAGAGGAGGAGATGGGATGGCAGGTTTTGCAGTACGTCACCCCTCGGGCCAAATTGTTCACCCCTATCAATGGAAGCCAAGCAGCGAATACCAAGACCAAACGTCCACAGGCGGATACTATTCAGTGTGCATCGATAACCAGTTCTCTAGATTCGCGGGCAAGCTAGTCAACATCTACATGACGGTAGTACGCTACGACATGTGGGACAAGTTCACTCAAGAAGTAGAGGAACTCAACATGAACATGGAGAACTTTACTCACACGATAGTAACTGTAGAAAAGAACATCAATGACATGTTGCAATACCAGTACCACTCTAGAGCAAGGGAATCTTGGGACTACAACTTGTTGCAAGATAACAATACGTATGTGGTAAGATGGTCGCTGATTCAAATTATGATTATTGTAGTTACCACTGCTATTCAGGTTTATTTTGTAAGGAAGCTGTTTGATATTAAAGTGGGGAGTGGGGGAGGAAAAACCAGAATATAATGCTTGTGATTTGTATCAGGGTAAATAATTTTTAGGGAACATTCTTCTGATAGATTTGATTTCACTAAAGGTATTATGAGAACAAATGTAATAACAAAGGATGTGAGAGGGGAATCTTAGATTCAGAAATTCATAAGTTGTCTTCCTAGCTATTTCCTTATAAGTTTAAACACTATCACTTTGAAAGAAAATAAAATTGAGAATAGTTAATTTTTAATATGCGATGTTTTTGGTCATATATTTTGTTGTCTAAACAAATAATTAATCTCTAGTTATCGAATCTTTATTAAAATCAAAGTCTGATTTTATTTATTTAACTTTGCTCTCTGCGAGCCTAAAGTGCACAAATTGTTTCTTTAATGACTGATTATGATCTTTGCAACAAAAGGCTCAAGTGCCAATGCATTTACTTTCGCTAGGTAGTTTACTATTTAGATCAACTGTACTAGTAATCTTTTATATTGTATATTTTATCAAATTTTTAAATTGGTGTTTACTCACGTTATTTTTAATATCCATGTTATAATTACTTGTATGGATGTTGTTAGAAGGAATAAATCTACTTTTATATATAAATGGGTATTTCTTGTTGGTCATTTAAACCCTGCCTTATTTATCTGCACAAAAAAAAACAATTAATTGCACCCAACTAAATGATACATTTTGTGTTTACACAAGTCAATAAGGAAACCTTACGAGAGTAAATAGCAAACATTACAATAATTGCTCATCAAGGTAAACATTTATAAAGTATAAAGTGCATTATTATAATGTACACTGCTTTTCAAGTAGGGGGTACTTTATTTTTCATCAGAATCGAATGTCAATACCTCAATTTAAGTTGTGAGTTATTTAGATATTACTGAAAGAGAACAGAGCTGAGATATGTTGCATGATACAAACAATATACAGAAAAATATTTTTATTCAAATGTTTAAAATTTAATCTTAATCCTAAACAAATAATGGATTTTTCAATTGTCTTGCAACATTGACTAGGTGGCACTATCATGTTCTAGATAGCATATGAACAATAGGAAGCATACAGTGACAGTATTTTGTAATCCAAAAGGGCGTTTGAAACTATTGACAGGGATAAATTACAGAATTGCATAACTATAGTGTTAACACATTAACTGTCCATATGCAAATTAGTAACTCCACCCATACGTCCACCATTAAATATGGCATGCTCCATATGTAGTTCAGATTATGATAACGTCCCATGCGCCTCATATGGCTCATGCGCATTAGACCAAAAAGTAAAAAGAAGACGATTTTAACTTAACCTCAAATTATTTATTTACTTGGTGAACCTAGTAGTTTTCTTAGTGAACTAAAAATGTCTGAAAATAGAAAAAAAACTCACCGATAAGGAGCTAGAGTATTATGCAAACCACTTATCAGAAATAAGTGATGGATCAGTGGATTTCGATTCCGATGATAGCATTGCCGATCCAGACTTTTGCAGCGGCAGTGAAATTTCGAGTGAGCAGTCTGAGAGTAATCAGGAGATTGATTCAGATAGTGATGATATTGGGTTTGCTGAGTTCATTCATCAGAATGAAGAAGATTTGAGCTTATTTTGGTCGGATTGTGTTTTGCAGTTTAAAAAATTTCAGTTCACAGGAACCCAAGGAACATTAATTCCAATTGAAGGCAAAGATGTACGAGATATATATAGGTTATTTCTGACAGATGAAATAATACAACTTATGGTCCAGCAAACCAATGTGCGTGCACGTGAAATAATAGCAAATAAGAAACCACGAACATCTTCCCGCTTTTCCAGATGGCATGACACCAATGAAGATGAAATGGAATTGTTTATTGGTGAGTGAATACTATGTATTTTGGTTTACATCAACAATGTAATATTTTGGGGTTTTTTGACCTGAATTAGCGGTCTCTGGTTCATAACGTCTATGTGTATGTTTGACCGCCTTACAATATGTTTGACTGCCTTACAATAGCCCCTACACCGATAAACAAAAAGCTTCTTTTTTACAGTTTCATTAAAATTTGCTTACAAAGATTGTGATCTTTTATGAACATATTGTTTTATATAGCCTAATTTTACGTTTATTTTGTTTGTAATTTCTTTGTTTTTCTTTTCAGGAGTCATCATGCTAATGGGAGTTATCAATTTTCCAACCATTGAGAGCTACTGGAAAAAAGATCCAATTTATTATCACGAAATATTTCACAAAATACCAATCAGCTACAATCGATTTACACTACTCCTCAAATGCTGGCATTTTCAGGACAATACACTTCCGTCCACCAGTAGGCTGGATAAAATAAATCCAATATTGAGCATTATTCAAAACAACATAAAAACTGTTTATTGTCCTGGTGATACTGTGGTGGTAGACGAAACAATGGTGCCTTTTCGCGGACGTCTAAAATTCAGACAATATAATCCTTCCAAAGCTCGCTGCTCTTATGGAATCAAGTTGTTCAAGGTATGTACTCCAAATGGGTATACCTGGCATCTAAAAATATATGACGGTGTATCAACCGCCATTGATGGGCTTGATTTACCAGGAAGCACTGTAGTGGAATTAGTGAGACCTCTTTTAAATGAAGGCAGAATGGTAATTACTGATAACTACTACACTAGCCTGCAACTTGCAAAATATCTCTATGATCGAAACACCCACCTATTGGGAACATTACGCAAAAATAAGCGTGGTCTGCCAGAAGAAGTAATTATACACAAATTACGCAAGGGCGAAATAATCTCAAGACAAAATGGCTGTATTACTGTTTTAAAATGGAAAAACCAGCGTCACGTTCTTTTTCTCTCAACTGTTCATGATGATGAAATGAAAACTTGTGGAAAAAAAAGAAATGGCGAAGATAAGATTAAACCTTCTGCCATTTTGGACTACAATAAAGGAAAACAAGGGGTGGATATATCTGATCAGTTTGCCAGCTACTACACTTGTCAAAGAAAGTCATTGACATGGTATAAAAAACTCGCCATAGAGATTATTTGTGGAACACTCGTTGTAAACACTCTGATTATATATAATGAACAACGTCCAAAAAAAGTACAAGTATCTCTTTTGCAAATGAGACAATCCCTAATAAGCGAGATGTTAAAAAGAAAATCTAATAACGATGGCGGTTCTGGAGGCAAGACCAAAAAAACTATTCACATACTGGAAGAACTGCCTAGAGATAATAACAAACTCTACAGAAACCGTTGTCACGGATGCTAAGGGAAACTGCGCGGAAACAATTCGGCATCAGAATCTGCAAAAAAAGCTAAGAGGGTCAACACTATCTGCAAATCCTGCAATCAAGCATTTTGCGTGCCTTGCTTTGGAGAAAACCATTAGATATATGTTAGTAATGTACGTTTTTACCTATTAAACCGAAAAAAATAAAAAGTTTATAAAATCTTTATTTTTCATTCGATTTTAATAATTTTTTTTTTTAAAGTGTCGAGTAAGGAATACTCTAACGCCCACATACAAAAAATGTGTGCGTACTACCACGTCCAACTTATAAAAGTTGTATGAATTTATGTACCACATAGGGCTCATGGACGCATGGAGAATATGGTCCATGAGCCATATGTGGCTCATTGGACAGTCAATGTGTTAAACTTGGAATGACGTGACAATCACAAATAGAGCGAGCATATAAGCTTGTGATTGTTGCAATCTTTATTTTTTACGAAAATCAGCGACAGGTCTTTGTATGAAACTCGCACAGAACAATCATTTTTATTAAAATACAGCTAAACTGTCAAACACCGAAACACCCACAGAAAAACTCGTACATACATACATACACAATTTTAACTTTAAGTAGAATTTAATTCACAAATGAATAGTAGATTCTTCAATTGTCTTGCAACATTGACTAGGTGGCACCTTCCAGTTGTATATATACACAGACCTGTTTTTCTTCCTTTTCTCCACTTGACACAACTCACCATTTTCCTCCACATTCTTATAATACTGTAACATCTCCTCAGGCGATACATGATGAACAATAAGATGTTGGTTTTGGCATCCTCTTGATTTCCATTCAGTATCGAACCTAGTGTCATGGATCCTCAAAATGTTATCCACTGGAGCCAACCAAAACCCCACACTGACATCTTCTGCATTGAAGGTCCTGTGGAAGAAAATTTAATTCTCAGATCAAACAGTTTTCTAACTGTTACTATATGTAGTAAATTTAACTCAAGTAATGGAAGATTTTGACAATTAATGTGGATGCTTGGATCCTGAATCTTAGTTTATATCACCATAGTGAAGGGTTGCCAAAATAAAAAAATTGGCTTAATGTAGGAATTACTACAATTTAGTGAAAATTCAGCTCTATATATATATATATATATATATATATATATTATATATATACAAAAAACACCATGTAAAAATACAAAAACTGAAAATTACTGGTGTACTACATGGAAATTATATACTAAGTGACATATAAATCCGAACACCCAGTTTAAATGGTTTTATTTTAATAAAAGTTGGTGGATGTATTTATCTTACTGTAAATAACAAGTGAAAAAATTTTCAGCCTTATCAGTTGGACATTCCGGTTTTTATACTGCTTTTTTTTAATTCACTAACGCTCTAAAAATGAATATTTCAGCCGCAGTAAAGAATCAACGTTGGCTGATTTTGGTTCTTGACATCCTTTATGATCGGTTACGATGAGTAGAGTACGGAGACCTGTACGATTTCGTCAACTTAGTGAGTTTGATAGGGGCCGTATAGTAGGACTTCGGGAAGCTGGACTTTCTTTTTGGGCAATTGCAGTTAGAGTGCAAAGAAGTGTAGACACTGTGGTTAGGTGTTGTCAGGCACGCCTTCGAGAAGGTCGTACGCAAAGAGCAAGGGGCACTGGACGCCGCCGTAGAACAACAGACCGTGAAGATCGCCGCCTAAGATTATTGGCCTTAAGGGACCGTTTCTCCACTACCAGGTCCATTGCAAATGAATGGTTTGCAGAACACGGAAGACCTATTGGCATGCGAAGTGTTTACCGACGAATGAGAAGTTTTGGCTTGTTTTCATACCGGCCACACTGGGTCCTCCCTTTAACTCGAGAACACCGACGTAATCGCCTTGAGTGGTGTAGACAACGGTCACTCTGGGATCAGGAATGGAACAGTATTGTCTTTAGTGACGAGTCTCGATTTTGTTTAGGCATGCACGATGGTCGTGCCAGGGTTAGAAGGCGACGTGGTGAAAGGATGAATCCACAGTTTTTTGTTGAAAGACATGTTCACCACACTGTAGGAGTTATGGTTTGGGGTGCTATAGCTTATGGTTCCAGGTCACCTTTAATCTTCATCAGAGGTAACATGAACGCGCAGCGTTATATCCACGAAGTTCTAGAACCCCATCTTTTACCCTATTTGACACCCTGGCAGATCCAACTTTCCAACATGATAATGCCCGACCACATGTTGCAAGAGTCACAATAGACTTCTATCAACATAATGATGTCACATTGTTACCATGGCCACCAAGATCTCCCGACTTATCCCCAATTGAGCACGTGTGGGATATGATGGGTAGGAGATTGCTCAATTTGCAACGTCCTCCTCAGACTCTAGAAGCACTTCGAGAGGAGTTGGTGGTTGCCTGGAATGAGATACCACAGGAGGACATTGACCACCAGATCAGAAGCATGCCTAGGCGCGTTGGAGAATGCGTAGCACATCAGGGTGCATCCACACATTATTAAAGGTCAAAGGGCTTTAAAGCAGTGCAATCATTTTGAAATTTTTATCATTTACTTATTATGCTTCATTAAGTACTTATACAAAATTTTATTAAAATAAAACCATTTAAACTGGGTGTTCGGATTTATATGTCACTTAGTATATAATACATATAGGTATAAACATAAATGGTGTTTCAAAAAACAAGCGCAATATGTCTAGAGCAGAAATTACATCCAAAAATAAATAGTCCATATAAATGTAGGTCCTGAATTGTGCCATTACCAAGATACAGATTATATCCTCAAATATTCAAACCAAATTTTCTTCTGGAGGCGTCAGGCAAAAATTTCTCAAGAGAAACAATTTATATAATATTAAATACCATATCCAAAAATGCAATAGATGCCTCTGAAGTCAATGGCATATGAAATGTTTTTCTTCCCGCAACTAATAAATAATCAATTTCTACTTTCTTGTTTGTATTACAATGTCAATACCACATGAACAAAATTATGAGTCTATGCCTTCATCCACTCCTCTGGTATAATTTTAATGTTATCTTGATATTATAATTTGCAACAGTAAGTAGTATTGCAGCACTCATTTATATAATAGTCCACGATCCCAGGGCTAGGTTAGCCTTATTTTTAATTAATCTTTCTTGCCTGGTACCAGTAAATCGAATCTCCACCCAATTTAGCAGGTACTTAGGTGTTGAAAGTACATACAAATGTTATAATATAAAATCTCCATGAGCTTTTTGTGTGATTTTTTAATCAACTGTCAGCAATAAAAATGCTGCAATGTTTTTGATCACCCAATATTATGACATTAATAATTTATTTAGTATATGCATTAGACAATACACAATTGTGCCAAGATTGGTCAATTTTGTCATAAAAATCTGATATCAGGATCCTTTTTAGGCAACAATTTTTCACTGTTTCTGTGGTAAGAATAACAGAAAAAGTAGAAACCCATCAAAAAAATAACATTCCATCAATCACACAAAAAATCCATGAAATAAAAATACCAACACAAAAAAACAAATAACCATATTCTTATATTACCAAGCATTTTCACCAACTCAGCCCTACTTATTTTAAATACAGAACAAGATAGTACATAAAAATGCTACCTACAAAATTACAAATCTAATACTAATCAATCCCATCAGTTACTCTCAGAGGGAAAAAATGCATCTCTGATGCTGGCTATTACTGTATTTGAAAGCAAAATGTACCTTTCATGTTTACATAAAAAAATCTGAAAGCATTATAATCTAGACTTACCTCAAGTTTTCAGCATTCTTGCCAATGTATGTCACTAAATTCTTGGATAGCAAATAACCACCACCTAATGCATATGGCATATATCTGTCTGAAAATATCCACTCTGTTTCTTTCCATTTTCCTTTTGTAAAGATCCTTGCATTTCCATAAAAGTACCCCCAGTAAAGATTCAACTTGTTTGGGCCATCCTTATTATTTGCTTGTATGTTTGCGGACATGGTTTCAGCAGAACTATACTTCAGCACTTCGATAACTGATTTTAAGCTTGGTGGAGACAAATACAGCTTTTCTATTTCAATAAGCTCACCTACTAATGATTTTAGATGAACAAAACTGTCATCATCACATTTTAGGACATATTTGAAATCCATTCCATAATCATATTGATCACTTAACCACTGAAATGTCTGTTTCACCTTGTATGTTATGTTTTTGTAATCATCTAGGATTGGCAAAATCAAGAGATCCTTGTTTGTCATTTGTTCATCTGTCATTTGTTTCTTAATATGTACATCCAGACCAAAGTTTCCAATAACAAAATAGTATTTTACTATGAAAGTTTGTTCTAAATTATTCTGCTTCCTACCATAAAGCTTTGTCCAAGTGTTTCTTATCAGCTGTCTTTTTTTCACATTTATTGGCGCAGATAATATAATTATAATCAGATCTGGTCCTCGATATTTGGAATTCATGATATTATGCTCTTTATCTGTGTCATCTAGTTTGCATGTTTTTGTGATCGAGTTTATGTTTACCATAAGTGTAAGTGTACAACATAAAATAAAAGTAAATGTACCTATGAAAAGGATGTTAAAGTTCCCATATCTTGGCATACCCCACAGATCCCAGGATCACTTCACTTCTGTCTGTAGATGTTTGGTGTAATGGTATAATCTGTGGTAATGGCTGGTTTATACCTTTTTCATAAGCATAATCACAACCACAACTTTGGAATGTGTTTAAAAACTACATAGTTTGGTTCAGCTATTGTCTATTGTAATTTTAGGGTAAGACTGAGGTAATAATCACAGACAGCATCACATATAGCCCCCATATAGGTTAGTTGGCATAAGAAGTTGTCATCGGCAAGTTGCCATGAAAAATCCACGATCACCCATTAAAATGCCACCAAGCCGAAATTGTATTATGTTGTAAACTATTCAATTGTAATTAGAGTTGGATTTGTATTACAACGTAAAGTGAGGTTATGAAGCGACACAAAATAAATGTCGATAAACGTCACTAGTAACCCTTTTCTGCACACATGCGCAAAGCACATAAACCTTACACAAACACAGTACCACAGAACAACAAGAACCAGAAGATTACGACATTACGAGCAGATAGTGAAGTAATATGAGGAATGGGCGAATCTGGATACTGAATCAGCAATCATATTATTCTTAATGCATCTTATGAATGGAAGGAGGGGAGGGGGGATTCCAGAGAGCACCCCTCCTCCCTAGATCGACCACCAGAGATAATCCACCACCGAGGAGAAAAAATCTCGCATCTGCTTAAACAACTACAAAAATGGATATTTCCGCTACGAACAAAATTTTGTTTTTTCGAACATTCTAAACAAAAGTCTTTACTAACTTTCAACAGTTAAATTCATTCGATTCGGAGTCTCCCCCTCTTCTTCAGAGAGTACCCATCAAGTTATAGACAGACAGACAAACAGACAGAATAACGGAAATGAGTGACATAGTTTTTCGTGATGAAAACATAAAATCTCATTTTCGAAATTCTTCCTCGTCGTGGAAATGATGAATAAGACAAGCATCACTCTTTCGAATTTATTAAAAATATCAGTTGTACACAAGTCACAATCTTATTTTAGGTTTATATAGACATAATCTATACACAACTTGGATACCTTATAATATATAACTATAGCTTTAAGTATTCTTTTAAGGATCATTTACAAGGTATGCCTACAATGGTCGACCTGACGGATAGTACGATTCATGCGCTTGACGTTAAACTGTTTATAAACAGGAATTCTGCAACGCTGACGCTAGACTTGACGAACTTTCTGCCGTGGCCAATCCCAATTCATCCAATGAAAGAGAGCTTATAAATCACGTGTTTGTTGCGACAGATCAGTTGGTTTTTCCGCGTGCTTTTCGCTCTGTTTGAGATGACATGTTTTGTTTTGCTCGACATGGCTTCGTTTGAGATTGTTAAATTTTATTCAAAACAATATGGAATATCTGGAGATTTGTTGCAAATTTGGCCTTCAAACATGTGGAAAATGCAATTTTTGGTTAGGATATGCCTCACGCGCCGTAACGTTAGAAATGTTATGAATTGATTTTAATTGCCAACGGTAGCGTTACGCCGGCGGTACGGAAACGTGAGAGTATAAATAGATCTTAAGGGATTGGATAATTTTTATTAGAAGACTGAGTTATTAATTGTAATACTACCGGCTTCCGAAATAGGTAAACTTTTAGAGTTTAGCTTATTGAGCAATTATTATACCTTGTATATTATGCTCTTTAATAGAGATGGCCGATATTGAATAATGAATATCTAATATCGTTACTTTTTGATATCAGTGATTAGACCGTAACGTGATCACGACTTTCTAATAACGATGAGATTATGGGAATACTGATACGACAGCTTAGATAACAATCAGCTATGAAACTTTCCTGTCAGTGCCAAAAACGGCCGCCATTTTGGAAGAAAAAAATCCACTAGTACAACTATGAAAGAGGTTTTAACATTACGGGACTGTCCCTATTTGAGAAGTCGGTGTTGGGAACTATGGAAATGGTGGAAGAAAACGACGAACTTCACACGTTGCTCTGGATAAGCGATGAGGCGCATTTCCATCTCTCCAGCTACGTTAACAAGCAAAATTTTAGACTTTGGAGCGATGAAAACTCTCAAAAACCTCTCCATCCGGCCAAGGTAACAGTTTGATGTGCGAGAATCATAGGCCCATTCTTTTTGAAAGATGACGAAGGGGACAAGCGGTTACCGTGAATGCGGAGCGCTACTAGGAAATGTTCCGAACATTCTTCATTCCTCGTCTTCGCGAACATGGACTGAATGATGAAATGTCATTTCAACATGATGGAGCCACGCGGCCCGCGTAAGCATACAACTCCTCAAAGAAATTTTCCCAAATCGGGTGATATCTCGGAACGGAGCCATTTTTTGGCCCGCCCGTTCATCCGACCTCAGTGCATGTGATTTTTTCTCGCCTCGTAGTCTTGAAGAATTGAAGGCGAGAATAATGTTATTTTTAAATGAGTAATGTTTCTTAAATGCTTTTTGACGTAGATTAACATGGTATCAATAAAATTGTTAAAAACAACCGTATTTTTTACAGTTATTTCAAAAATGCAAGTTTGACTGCCGCACCATGTAAATAGTCAGCAATTCTCCGTCGCTTTTTTTGGACAATCATACCCCATTTTATTATTTTTTCTCACAAACTACACTAGACCATATCAAAATATCATTTCAAGATTACAAAAAATATCTGTGGTCGCTGACATGATACGCCGCAAAACCGGCTGCTGCTAAACACTACAATCTCTTTCATAGCTGTACTAGGGAAATTTACATGCAAATTTCTCCGCTGATATGGCGACCGTTTTGACACTGTCAGGACAGTTTCATAGCCGATTGATATCTAAGCTGTGCCGATACCCTGAACAAAATACTGCGATGAAACCTGTAAGGAAAGATATCACTTGCAAGCCGTAGTACTTTTACGGTGGTATGTGGTATACATTCAAACGTTAACGCCATGATCCGATGAGGCCATTCGCCGTTGCCGTAAGCAGATAGTCCCCAACGTTGTGATCACGTCACACTTTTTCGGGGTATTTGGTTACTAGATCACAGTTCGTAAAATATCTGCCACCAGTAGTCTTTAAAAATGCCTTGTAAGGTGATCCTTCAGCTAAGTTGAGAAAAACTAACCTGTTAAGGTGTAACAGGCTTTGGATGATAATAATGAAGAAATAAATACAAAATTATGAAAATGTATTTTACATTACTGACAAAAAAAATCAACGTTTTTCCGAATGATAAAAATACATTAATTTAGCATACTCATATACTTGTACCTTGACTATACAGCATTTTAGGAATGATGAAAATATAAGTAGAATATATGATTGACGACTTAAAATAAGTGTTTATATGTATAGTGCTTTAATGAGAAATCAATTCTAATTTATTCGTTACGTCGGATTCATAGCAAGTATGACCGAGTTCAATTAAATTGTGATCCAAGGTGGTAATAGACTTCTCAAAGTTATCATTTGATAAACATCAATACAATGAATAAATAAAGTCAACTAAAAAAAAATATTTATCAGTGCGACACTAGATTTAAAAAATGTTTATATCATACAAAACAGCTACAATGAAAATCCACACCCACACAGTGGGCATTCTAAAGTTGACGATTAGACAAATCATGAAATTTATTCACTCTACCTGGTTTCTTACACATAAAATACACAGGCAAAAACCATTTTTCACATATCACTCACTTTACTGAGTTATATACATTTGAAAAGTCTCTGCTAATCAACTAATCTGTGTCTGGCAAGGCTATAATTTTCCAGAAAGAACAAGGAAACAGCATACACTTCTCGAAAAGTTTTTGAAAATTACATATGTTACAAATGTTCAGCAGCTCAGTGAATTAGTGCGATAAGATTGATCGATTTTGTTCATTATGTTTCATCACATTTATTTTCCGGAATGGTTTGCGCTTCATATCGGTAAGGTAAAATAGTGTATTTTGCTATAAAATTCCCTTTGAACTAACCCTGTATATTGCTCAATAAAATAGTAGTGATGGCCGGAAAACAGGTGTTTCTTTGATAAACAATTAGAAATTCTCAAAATCTACTTGACCAATCTACTCCAATTTTGTTGTGGTTATTTAGAAGTATGAATCCTACGAATTTGAAGAATTTCAAGTATCTGCGAGAAACCACAGTCGCATCACCAACAAGTGCTAAAACCTGCAGTTTGCCTCGGTTTTCGGCCATAACTTTTTTGCTATTAGTCGGATCTTTTTACGTGTGGTCGCATTTTGTAGGTCTTATAAATACCTAAAAATCTTATGTGATGAGTTTTTTCGTTCCTCCAACACGACCGAATCTCAAAAACCCGTATTCTCATTATTTGTTGTCGAATAAAAAATTTTCCCACGAAAATTGGTGTACCCATTTAATGCGTCCATGTTTTAAATACCCCCTTGAACAACTTGCAGCAATAAAACCAGACTTTACACGTATTCCGCAAGCCAGGGGTATTTTATGATTAGACTATATCTGGATTATTTTAAAAAATCGTGGAAAATGACGTTTTCGGTAAATGAGTTTAATTTCTACAGAAATGCCGAAAAATCGGAAGATTCGGCAACACTGCTTCCAATACATCGCTATAATCAAAATCAGGAAAGATGACGATAATGTCATCATTTTAGTATGTAGTAAATACAAACGACAGCGATTTGTGAATATTTTTAATGAAGTTTCAGATATGTTAGACAGAGACAAACAGAATTTCATTGTCTAAACAAACTGTATGGCTAATTTGCATGTATCCGACAAAGATAGACGATGTTTTCATGTTACATGATCGATCATATTTGAAAGATGAATACTTAGGTTATGTTAAAGCAGGTTAGGTTGTTTTCGATCAAGATGACCTACAAAGATTAATTAAAGAATTCGAAGATACGGCGCTCATATAACGTATAACATGGTGATATCAGCGGAACCGAGACGATGTAAACTGGTCGTAAATAACAAAATAATAGAACAAGCTATGGAAAAGTGGAAGAAGAAGTACAAAAACAAGGGTAATAATATTCCTGGCAAAATACTTGGCTCCGCTTGCAGGTAACTTTAGAACAGCTTTTTATTTCTGCTTGACTTCTGAGAAATGTTTTCTTATCTTTTAGCTATCGAGCAAAATGTTTTGAAAAATTCTCTAACGAAGAACTGCAATCAAATATGGTGCGCTTTATTTCGTTCGAAGTATACAGCGGCGGCGCGCTAGGGTTGAGATGGGAACTAAAGCAAAATCTAATACCTTTGAATACTACACATTCAAAGGTTCAGTCAAGATTGAAGTTTGTTTGAAAGCATTTATCTCAGTCTATGGTATAACTTTGGGTCGAGTTAGAAGACTTAAAGATCTTGCCGTGCTAGGAAAATCCCCTAGAGACTTACGTGGAAAAAATCCAAGTGGTAATAAACTCGGCGAAGAAGTTCAGTTTGCTGTTCAAGAACACATTCAGTCGTTTCCCGTTAAATTAAGCCATTATGCAAATCGAGAAGTTAAGTACTTAAATAGTGAGCTGAATTTAAAGATTATGTACGACTTATTTAAGGAAAAATACCCCACATTGAAAGTCAGCTACCCATATTACACAAAGTATTTTCGAGTAATTTTTTCTTTGAGATTCGGACGCCCTCAAGTTGATATGTGTGCAACATGTGAAACTTTAAGCAACAAAATAAAAAACACGCACTTAAATGATACTGCCAAACGAGCAGCAGTTGCATAGCTGCTAGTCCATAAACGGCGAACTAAAAAATTTTATGCAAAACTGAAAAGCGAGTCTAATGAACCTTGTGATTCAAAAAATATTGTAGCTTTAGCTTTCGACTTCAGGCAAAATGTTCAGCTGCCAAAAACACCTGTAGGTGATGTTTTTTATTACCAGCAACTGAACATTTCGGTGTTTTGTATACATAATATTAAGGAAAATACTGCAAGAATGTATATATATCATGAAGGGCAAGCGAAGAAAACTGCCAACGAGATTTGCTCTTTTTGACCTTAAGGATGTTCCCAGAAATAATATAAATAAGATCCACTTATACAGTGACAATTGCTGGGGACAAAATAAGAATCACACTTTGGTTCGCATGCTTCTTGCACTGGCAGATAGTGACCAGTTTTCCAAAATCGTACACTATTTTCCTATAAGAGGTCACTGTTTCCTTCCCTGTGATAGAGACTTTGCTATTGTGAAGAGAAAACTAAAAAACATGACAGAATCTCCACAGTTCAGCAACTAACCGAATTGATTGTAATGAGCAGCAAGTCGAATAAATTTACAGTTAAAGAAGTTTAAACAAAAGATATTATAAACTTTAAAGAGTGGTGGCCAAAACTATACAAAAAAAACGTAATATCTGAGGAAACTTCTTCCAACATTACACCACATAAGTTAAAGGTCCATTTCACACAATTTAGTTACGACACACAAAGAAAGGGTTGCGTCGAGGCTTCGCAATTCATAGACGGGGGTTTCCAACACACATTCAAACGCCAACAGTCAGGGAAGACTGCAGTAGCGTTACCTTCTCAACAGGCCTATCCATTGGGAAAAGTCCCTATAAAGATGACAAAAATGGAACACATAAGAAAATGTGCAGCGTTTGTAGAAGATGAATATCAAGAATTCTATACTTCAATACTTAGTTGGCCAACTACTTCCAATTAGAAATTACATGTTTTTTTCAATTTGTAATAAATAATCACGTTCCATTAGACAAAAGTATTTCAATTTCATCCTACGCTATGCAGAAAGCTCACATGTCCAATTCTTTAGAAGGCTGTACAAATTTTTACTTTTTATTTTGACCAAAATTAAATATTAGAAGATATTACAGCCGCCTTAAACTATGATTTCCAACCGTTAAGCACAGGGCGCATTTATTTCAACAAATAATATAATGTTTTTTCCATTTCTTCGAAAATCACTTTTTTGGACATGTGTCGTTTCTGTAAACGCCGATTCAATTATTATTAAGGTATCACTCAAAACCATGAAATAAAATGAAAATAAAAATAATCAGTGAAATAACCTTACTTCGAAAAATCATAATAAGTATAGATTTGTTGTCATTATGTTCCTGTCATTATATCATCGACGTACGTCCATTGATTACTTCAATACAATTAACGGAAAGACGTAATAGTCATCTTTCGTGATTTTGATTATATTCTTGTCAATTCGCTCTCGCCAGAAAACCATAGCCACACCGCCAACACCATCTATCTGATCGAATTACAATTAAAACATTAATTACCTAATGGTAGTTTTGGAAATTGAACGCCTCGCTGGTCGTATACGTCGTAGGAGTATGTTCGCCGGAATAAATAACAGCTGCATCCTGGTACGAGCCGCCCGCCTCCGCCGTATCCTCCGGTTTGCCAGGGACAGTCACAGGGTACCCGCCCCCGCTTCCGCCGTTACCCGCTTCAGACTTTAATTTGATCTCCTCGCCGGCGCTCGTTTGGATAACGGTGCTAAGGTTCACTAAACTTGCTTGGTGCAGCTCTACTAGCTTGTTTCCGTCGATCAGCAAAGGTTGAACCTGTGATTCAAAACAGAAACCTGGTAGCACTTATTTCAAAATGGAAGCTACAGATAAGGATGTGTGTAAGTTGGGCTGGTAAGGGAGACAGCGGAACATGTGATCCGCCTTCAGTACAAGTTTGAACTCGCTCGAGTCATTCGGTTGTCCGTAGCATTTTTTTGTGAAATGATATTACTATATATATATACAACTACACTTGCTCTTTTTATTCGCTCCAACACAGACACGAAATATTGGTAAAGACCACACATAAAAATATCAACCAAGGATCACCGGGAAGATTAACAAAATATATATCGACACACCTGTTTGCAGCTGCAGATCCCACATGGAAGAGATTGCAGAAAATTAATTCTGAAAAAATACTTTTTTGACTTCTAATGTCAAAAATTAGGTCAAGCTAAAAAAGGTTTTTAGGAGATTCCTGAATTTTTAGTTTGAATATGGAGGAAAACTCTAAAAAGGATGGAGCTAGTGAGGGAGTGGAGAGTGTGGCCGCACTGAGTGAAAAGGGATTTTGTACAGAGGAAGTTTTGAAACTAAAAGATTATACCATTTCGATTCAAGAGAAATTAATAAAAGAATTGTACGAAAAGACCAATTAAACAAAAAAATTGGGAAGATGCAACAGCCGTCACAAGAAGCAATTACAACTTACGCTAATATGGTTAAAGCTTCAGGGCCTTCAACCGTTAATTCGCCTACAACAATGGTAGAATATAAGCAGCAATGCTTACCATTGCAAACACGTACAGCAAAACAACAATCACCAGTATTAAAACCCACAAATACAGTCATTGTTAAGCCTAATAAGCAACAAGAGTGTAATAACACAAAGAAAGACATCGCAAAATTTGTGAATCCTACCAGTTTGAAAATTGCTATTGAAAAAGTTTATGAATTGAAGGATAGTGGGGTGAAAATCCAATGTAAAACAAAAGATGATAACGCGAAGCTACATAAAGAAATAAAATCAAAAATGCCAGAAACATATACAGTGAAAACTTCAGAGATAAGTAAAAAACCACAAATCAAAGTTATTGGATTTTGTCAAGAATATGCAGAAGATACTATAAAATCACAAAATGAATCTTTTCAAGAAAAATCACATATGAGAGTAATTACAGTCAAGAAAATGAAAACTAAATATTAAGCAATTTTAGAAGTGGATGCTGTGACTTTTAAGTGTGTTATGAATCAGGGTGTTATTTTTATCGACATGTCTGTTTGCTCTGTTTTCGAGTACATCAATGTTTTGAGATGCTATAAATGTACCGGATTTAACCACACAGCTAAATACTGCACAAAATCAGAAAGATGTATTACTTGTGGATTAGAAGGACACTCAACAGAAAACTGTAGTACCAGTGAAATGTACAAATGCTGTCCAAATTGTAAAAGTGCAAACCAGGATTTTAATCTAGGATTACCTATTAATCATGGACCATTTGACAAAAATTGTGAAGTATATAAAAGGAAAATTGAACGTGAGAGGGAAAAAATTAGTTATGCAAATGAATAGCAACTACTAAGCTCAGATTTGCAAGACGTGGCTAAATCTGTAAGTGATGAATATAACTCAATATACCATTTAAACATACAAGGAGTCCTGAATAATATAGATGAAGTTCAACAGTTTTTAAGATGGAGAAAACCACTTGCATTATGTCTTACCGAAACACATGCTACAGAAGACATCACTGATGGTGAATTACAAATTACTAATTATAAAACCTACAGATGCAACTCCAACTCCAGACATACTGGAGGTGTAGTGATTTATGTTTACCACAAAATACAGATCACATTATTCGATTGTACCACTTTAGACTCTGCATACTGGTATGCACATATACAGTTCGAATTATTTGGGAAACGTTATGATCTTTGTACTTTTTACCGTTCACCAAACAGTGATGCGGATACATTTTTAACGTTTTTTGAAGAAAAATGCGAAGAAATGTGGAATTTTAGAAACAATATAATACTTTTAGGTGATTTTAATTTAAATTATTATGGTAAAAGCATGAAAACAAGAAAATTGAAGGAAACCATAAACAACTATGGGTTCAAGCAAAAAATTGAAGAGAGTACCAGAATAACATCATTATCAGAGACTTTGTTAGATCTTGTTATTGTAAATTTCTAATGTGCAGGGATTAAAGCTGTTCATACACCTAAAGTTAGCGATCACAGTTGGACAATGCTGCCCTTGGTAGGGCATTTTTCTGATACAAAAATTAAGAAAATCGTAAATACTATTAAGTACGAAAAACTTGAACGAGAACTTGCTGGCTGCTATTGGAATTTTGGTGAGAATATGGAAAAAAATATATAACAACATAATAGGAAATATAAAAACTTGTTTAGAACTTGCAACTGATAAAAAGTGATTTGCTCGACAAAAAATACACCCTGGTATAACAAGAATATTAAGGCAGCTCAAAATTTGAGAGACAAACAATACAATAAATGTATATTCCCAAAATCAAATGATGATTGGGAGGTCTATAAAACTCTTAGGAATAAATTCTTTCTTGATTGCAAACAAACTAAATGAATACTTTGTGGAAAGTATTGTTGATATTGTGGGTACTGCCAATGCTGCACCTGACTATATGAAAATCAGTTTCCAGGGGGAAATGTTGCATACACTTTCAAAATTTCACAGCGTTTGATTGAATTATCTAAGAAAAAAAGTAAACAGTTTAAAACCAAATAACAACTGTGCCGAAAGCACTACTAAAAACGTGCTGAACAACTGTTTCGAAATTTTGGGATATCCTGTATTAAATTGGATCAATTGTTCACTGAGAAGCAGTTCTTTTCCTGAAAATTTGAAATGCTCTACAATAACACCAGTTCCCAAAATAAAAAATTCTAAAAGATGCAGCGATATGAGACCAGTAAATGTGTTACCAGACATTGAAAAATTATTAGAGTCCATAGTGCATGACCAATTAATACAGTTTATAGAAGAAAACAAAATTTTAGTGGAGGCGCAAGCAGGCTTTCGAAAAAAATATTCCACAGAAACAGCTTTCCAGTTGGTAACTGAGAATTGGAGAAGAGCCATAGACTCAGAAGAAGTTGTCATAGCAGTATTTTTGGATTTGAAAAGGGCATTTGAAACGATTGATAGAGATATTTTGTTAGGTAAAGGCATATGGTATAACAGGAAGTGTTTTAGATTGGTTTAGAAATTATTTGTCTAAAAGGATGCAAGTTACAAAAGTTAATGACACTATTTCATCAAAAATTGAAAATACGTTGGGTGTTCCACAGGGCAGTATCCTGGGACCACTTTTTATTTTATACATAAATGATTTACCTGCCATAGTCAAAAAATGCAAAATTCAGATTTTCGCCGATGACACTATGATTTATATAAGTACTAAAAATATTCAGTCTGGTATCTCTTATATAAATGACGACTTGAAGCTTGTCTCAAAATGGTTAGCATCTAACAGACTAAAATTAAATGCAAGTAAAACGAAAGCCTTGTTAATCGGAAAAAAACAATGTACAAATGTTCAACTGAATATTGATGGTGAAGATATTGAATTCGTAGAAAATTTTAAATACCTGGGGGTTTTTTGTTGGCTCTCGATTAATTTTTGATATTCATTATGAAAAAGTTATAAATAAGATTAGTAGTAAAGTGGGATATTTATTGAGAGTTTCTGGATGTCTGAGTTCATATAGCAGAAAAATTATCTATAATACCATCATTCTTCCAAATTTCTTGTACTGTTCGACTATTCTATATTTAGCAAATAATTTCATTTTTGAAAGACTGCAAATTTTACAAAATAAGTGCATGAGAATAATACTAAATAAAGATAAATATACTCCAATTAGGCAAATGCTTAGCAAATTAAAATGGCTCAATGTACAAAATGTTATCAAATATCTTGTAATGATATTCATTTATAAAGTAAAAAATAATATATTTCCATCAAGTCTAACTAATTTAACATCATCAAATGTCGACCATCATTTACATAATACCAGAAATAAAGATGACTTCCATTTAATGACCAAAAAGTATGACATATGCTACAAATCTGTATTCCATCAAGGGTTGATTGAATATAATAAATTATACTCGGAGATAAAAGACCAGAAAACTTTGACAAAATTTAAAGTAAAATTGAGAAATCACTTGTTAAATCTACAATTATAGGTTGCCCAGCATTTACATCATACACCATATGGCTTGAATTTACTAGTTCTAAGTCGTTTACAATTGTTCTGTTTATGTAGCCAAATGTGCTAAATAAATCTTTCTACTACTACTAGTTTTTCCTATTGTGTTCAAAATATGAGTGACATCAATTTCGAGCAACGGTGTGATTCACTGCAACAAAGACTCTTGCAGCAGGACTACAGAGATAGTGTTTCGTCAAGAGCCAAGATTTTTCGGTGGTTTAAGGCATTTTCAGAAGGGACAGAGTCGAGTGAAGATAAACCACGAAGCGGAAGGCCTTCATCTTCAAGAACCGATGTAAATATCGACAGAATTTGGGATCTTGTGCGTTCAGATCGTCGGCTGACAGTCAGAATGATCGGTGAAGAGTTAAATAGTAGTTAATCAGAACAACAGGGCGTTGCATCACGATAATGCTCCTTGTTACACAGCGATGTCAATAAACGAGTTTTTGGCCAGTAAAAACATTCGTGTGACTCCTCAGCCTCCTTATTTGCCTGACTTGTGTCCGTGTGACGTTTTTCTTTTCCCGTTGTTGAAAAATCACATCGAGGGATTTGGGGACAGTCAAAAACATTCAAACATCTGAAACCAACCAGTTGAATGTTATTCCAGTATCGGAGTTCCAGCACTGCTATGAGGGGTGGAAGAACAGTCTCCAACACTGTGTGGCTTCAGAAGGTGACAATAAAAAATTGTGATTATATTTGAATGAAAAATAGAAATCAGTCTCATTACTAAATTTGCAGACCTCGTATAAATGCCTAAGCATGGGAATTAATTTAACAAATATCTACCTCATTCTGTAGCTTAATGTTGCTCATGATTCCCATGAGAATCCGTTGGGGTTGACCTCCCTGCATAGGTTGGATATCCACAGATAACGCACCTGGCTGACCAGTTTCTCCACCCGGCTGAGACTGCATTATTAATTGACCTTCCGACTTGGAAACCACCTCAGAAGCATCATCTTCCTTCTTCATCCTAGGAAAATATACAGGGTGTTTCAGTTTATTGTTGCATAACTTTAAGATTCGATAGAACTTTTAAAATTAATGCATAAAGTCTATATAAACATGGGTCGAAAAATGCGTGGCTTCCGAAATACAGGGTGTTTAAATTTACTTTCTAAAATAGTTTTTTTTTTAAATATTTCGAACAATATTTGATGTATAACAGTGAAAATTGGTATACAAGGTTTTTTTTATTGTAGCCGCTAGAGAGCGCTCTCTATTGTACCTGTAGTCTATTAAAATGAACGAAAATTTTTTCTTAGTGCAATTTTTTGCTTTTTGAATAAAAAAACTGATTCTTTGCACTTTTGAACATAAAAAAGCTCTCCTGTGAGTTTTCGTTATAGTTAGCCGTTTTTGAGATATTTCGATTTTTAAGGTTCGATGCATTTTTAATTATTTATGGGAAAATAATATTTTTTTTACATTTTCGATTTGGGCATTACAAGTAATTAAGATGATCGTTTAGATTGTGTTTTTAAACACAGCAATAATTCCTAACTCCAAATAAACACAAAAAAACAGAATATTAATTTGTTTAATTTTCCAATATTATTTTTAATAAATTAAATTAATTATTTACAACTAAAATGCTATTGGATAGTTAGGACAAACATACAAAATCTAAAGTAGTTGCTCGAAATATAAACCCAATTGTTCAATACACAATTCACATCTACGAATGATCGAACGTGGTATAGCATTATTCAAATAAGGCCTTATTTCATCACATGGCATATCTCTTGTGTTCTTTTAGAAATCCCCAGGCCAGGCGACTGGTCCTCCACGGCGGATCCATCTTTCTGGATAATTTTCGTCCAGCCAGTTTCTAACTATTCTCGAATAATGAGCTGGACAACCATCAAGCTGGAACCAGGCCAATCTTCTTAAATCTAACATAACATCATCCCACATCTTTGCATGTTCAGCCTTTAAAAATTCCAAGAAGGTCGCAGCATTTAACCTTGCAGGCAAAAGGTAGGGTCCAAATAGTCGATTACGGTAGATACCAATCCACACGTTCACACTAAATTCATGCTGAAAATGTCTTTCCCGAACTGCATGCGGATTTTCATGCGACCAAATATGTTGATTATGAAAATTTACCACTCCACGTCTAGTGAAGCATGACTCATCGGTTCATAAAACGTTACTTAAAAACTCCCTAATATTATCAGTTCTATCAAGAATCCACTGACAAAATGTGATTCTTCGTTATCCGTCCCCTGGTTGTAGTCCTTGCACAGGTTGCAAATGGTAAGGACGTCTATGGTCATTTCTAAGAACACGGTGAACATGGCTTGCTGAAATTCTCAAGGCACCAGAAACTCTCATAACACTTGTGGTCGGATCTCTTTCAAACTCACGCAGAATCATACGGGTAAATCTACGCTGACGAACATTTATGTTTTGATCCATTTGGAGATTTCCAAAAACATTTTCAATTATTTGGCGATGCACTCTTACAAATACTGAGCGAGTTGGATGTCGTCTGTTTGGAAATCTTCGTGCGTATTCTCTGGCTGCTTCTGCTGCGTTTCCATTTACAAAGCCATACACAAAATGAATATCCGCTAACTCTTGATTGGAGAATAAAAATGGCATTTTTATAAAACCAGGTAAAGAAACTAAATTTCGTGCATTCACAATTGCAAAAAAACGTTTCAGGTTCAACAAACAAAACTAACTGTCAACTAATTGACGTTTAACCTTATTCTGCTTTCAATTTCAAAATATTTGCAGGCACTTCTAAAAATTATCGAGATACTGACTTTTTAACGTTATTTTATCATAGATAATTAAAAATGCATCGAACCTTAAAAATCGGAATATCTCAAAAACGGCTAACGAAAACTCACAGGAGAGCTTTTTTATGTTGAAAAGTGCAACGAATCAGATTTTTTATTCAAAAAGCAAAAAATTGCATTAAGAAAAATTTTTCGTTCATTTTAATAGACTACAGGTACAGTAGAGAGCGCCCTCTAGCGGCTACAGTAAAACTATGCCCATGGTTCGTTTTGTCGTACCAAAAAACCCTTGTATAACAATTTTCACTGTTATACATCAAATATTGTTCGAAATATTTAAAAAAAACTATTTTAGAAAGTAAATTTAAACATCCTGTATTTCGGAAGCCACGCATTTTTCGACCCATGTTTATATAGCCTTTATGCATTAATTTTAAAAGTTCTATCGAATCTTAAAGTTATGCAACAACAAACTGAAACACCCTGTATACATATCAATACTCTATCTTGGTAAATTGATATTCAAAAACTGCATGAATTAATGACAAGAAGTTCTTGTTATAAACTCTTTTTGGACTTGAAGTCCTTATTCTTCGTGTTTAAATATGAGCTGCATACCCTCCTAACCTATCTTCAGCAGCCCATCTGGAAGATTTGAACCTGATTGGTGCTGGTTCGTGAGCGGGTGTGACAGGTTCCACTCTATGGCCACCTTTAAGATCAGGTTGTGTGTCCATCCAGTGACCTAAGAGATAAAAATGTAGAATCAATACGAAATGCAAACACCCGAAAAAATTATATTACTATACCTGTTGTTCTTCGATGATTTTTGAGCTGTGCGCTTTGGATAAACCTAGCAGGGCAAACACCACAAGCATAAGGCCGAGCTCCGGTGTGTCTGCGCATGTGCAGAGCCAAGTCATTTGATTGGGTGAATGCTCTGCCGCAAATGTTACATACGTATGGCCGTTCTCCAGTGTGCACACGACTATGACGTAGCTGAAAAATAAATGAGAAAATGACGTCAAGTATGTTGACTCTACCCTTCCTAAGCAACGCCGTCATCAGTTTATGTAGGATTTTACAATTTTTCTCAAAAACAAAAAAAATACAGGGTGCGGCAGAGAGGATGGACGGTTTTAAAAAAATCATAAAATAGTTAATTTTTATTCGAAACCAAATTTATTGATGGAATCAGGTTCACAAGGAAATAGCATTTGAGACAGTCAACTGTGGAAAATCACATCAGGCCGAAATCGTTGATGCAGTGCTGGAGGCGTTCTTGGAAGTTCGCGTAGACTCTCTCCAACATCGCTCTCTCAACTTGGGCGACTTCCACGCGAATTTCGCCCTTCAATTCGTCCAGAGTTCGGGGCTTGTTCGCGTATACTCTAGCCTTGAGGTGTCGCCATAAGAAAAAATCGCATATGGATAAATCTGGGGACCGAGGAGGCCAATGAACATCGCCAAACCTGAAAATAAGGCGACCAGGGAAGAGAGGGCGAATAACGTCCATGGATGCTCGGGCTGTGTGGGCGGTCGCCTCATCCTGCTGGAACCACACATTCGGATTGGAACACGTCGCCGACGTAATTCAGGGAGAAAGAAGTTGGTGATCATGTCGACGTAGCGGCTATGAGTTCACGGTAACATCACGACCATTACCGTCTTCGAAGAAGTAAGGGCCAATGATGCAAGTTTGCGATACAGAGCACCAAACCCTTTTGGGCTGTGCAGCGGTCTTTCGTGTAACTGTTGCAGATTTTCATCAGCCCAATAACGACAATTCTGCTGTTTAACCATGCTGTTTAGGTGAAAGTGGGCTTCGTCACTCATAAACAAAACGAGGTTCTCATTTTGATCGATCAGGGCTTACCGAACGATCATGCAGCATGTTTCCGGGCAGATCGAGTCGGACTGCGAAGACCTGTCGAACGCGTTCAACATTTTCAGGAGTTCGAACTGTTCGCGGCGCTCATCTTGGTCTTCTGCTGATCAGTTTACCACGCCTGCGAAGTGATTCAACCCAACGAAGAATGGTGTCTCGAGAGGGAACAGCTCTATTCCGATCAATGACTGACTCATTATTTCGGACGAAACAATCATAGGCGAAAACGCGGTGCTCCACCGTCCAAGGCTCCATAACGACAACTGGTAAAATAATGCTAGGATCTCACGAGTCAAACGGCACCCTCCCCACCTCTCTCGTAGACGGAGGCGGAGAGTACTACCCATCCCAAAAAAGTCCGTCCTCTCTGCCGCACCCTGTACGAATACGGTTAAGCAAGTGTGAAAGAACGTTTCAAAAGCATAAAAACCGGCTATAACACTTTGCAAAACTTGAATCGAAAGTATGAAAAAATCGAAAGCACAGAGGGTCAAATCACGAAAAGCGGCATTTTGTCAAGAAACTAAAAAAAATCGAAACTTTTGAGTAGTAACCGACCGAATCTTGATGTTCAGCCGAAACCGAACCTTCGGCTTCCGTCCTGGTTTCGGCCGAAACCGAAACAGAAACTTTTCTTTGACTTATGGGCAGCAGCGGTGGCCGCAGTAGTAGACTCTTCGGTCTCCTGATCAGTCGCCGTGCGCTGTGCGGGTTGGAATCCCGTCCCAGGAGAATTTTTTCTCTTTTCTATGGATGTTGTGATTGTCCGTAGGTGGTAGACGGTATCTGACTGTCGAACGCGGAGGTACCACCCGACGGATTTCATAGGCGGGGCCAGAATGTGTGCATGTTGCATGCACACGTGTTCCCTCGCCAGAGTCCGTGTGGCGTTCCCCCTGACCCCTGTATCCCCCTGTAGCCCCACAGTACCCCATGGGTGTTTAGGCCTTAGGCCTTCGTGGTAGTTGGAGTATAAAAAAAAGAATGAGGATGTACATGATTCTTCGATTTTAGAGGTTTACGAAGTTATTAAAGATCTTTGAAAACGTATCTCCCATAATGTATGTTTTTCTTGTTCAGTAAGGTTAGGTACTTGAAAAAACACAAAAGTTAATTTTTGAAATAAAAGAATGTATTCCATTAACATGTTGGTAGTTGAAATACTAGAATAATATAACAAAACGAATCATAAATAAATATCTATTATCTGTTACATTGCACTTATATGAAAACAAACATGTATGTCCTGTAACTTCCATAAACATCACCAAAACAACTAAAAGTTTTTAACTCAAAATAGATTTTCTATATAGAAATTGACAATAAACTAGTAAACATAACCAAAAAGCCTTATATTATATGATAAAAAAGTAGTTTTTCCGCATTTTCTCCTAGCAAATTGCTTCGCCGATCTGCATATATTTGCCCAGCAGCACTGAACATTTGCTCGCTGGGGATACTGGTCGGTGGTGCAGACAGGTATTTCAACACCGCTTTCCTCAACGTCGGGTAGGGGCTGGAGTTCCAATAAGAAAATATGTCGGCATTCTGCTGTAGGCGCGGCTCCGACAAATAGCACTCGATTGTTTGTTTTAGTATAGAAGTTTCATCATATCCATTATTATCACATGGTGTACCGCCGGGGTTATCGTCATGGGTATCCCAAAGACTTTCGTCTTGTTTCTGAATATTGGATTCAACCAGCACTGGTTCTGCAGAAGAAGAAGAATGAATAGCATTTCTGTTCACCGCGCTGTCGCTACTACATCTGATCAAAAAAGATACAATTTCTGTGATTCCGATGTCAACAGCATTGGGAGTTAGATACTTCGATTTGAAACGTGGGTCCAGCAATGCTGCTGCAATTAACGAGGGATGCTCTTTCAAGAGGGACATTCTTTGGTTCATTGTCTCATATAACCGATTTTTCGTCATTGTCATACCCTCATCTTCGTTTTCCATTCGAGCTTGTAATTTCCGATTGAGTAGCGATATTAGAGGTATGATTATAGAAATACAAGCGTCATTCAATGCTAAATCAAGGGTGGCTTCGTAAAAGAACTTCAATACTTCGACGAGTCGCTTCATAATTTCCCATTCGGTGGGACAAAGGGTATCTATTTTACCATGCTGAACAGTGTAGAGGTTTATAGCATTTTTTTGCTCTAACAGCCTCTGAAACATCAAATAGGTACTGTTCCATCTTATATCAATACTTTGAACCAGAGCATGTTCTGGCAGCCCGCATTGGATTTGGCATTCTTTCAATTTTCTTGTCGCTGGTTCACTGTGGTGGAAATGGCCTACTATCTTCCGACATTTTTTTATAATTTCTGTGGTGTCTTCATCAGCAAATAACGATTGCTTGATCACTAATTGCAGCGTATGCGATACACAGCCAAGAGACTCATAGTGTCCTGTCCGCATTGCACATGCCATATTTGCGGCATTATCACGCAACACTAAAAAAATCTTACAATTTAAGTTCCACTCATTGATCATTTCCGTAAATTTTCGTTCAATGTACTGACTAGTATGGTCTTGTTCCATAACAGCTGCGCCTAATATAACTTTCAGGCGTTGATGCTCTATAATGAAATGACCTGTGAGACTGAGAAGGGAACATGATTTGCTAGTGTTGGTCCATATGTCGGCAGTCACACTTAACCAATCGGATTTTGCGATTAATTTTTTGACTTTAGCCTTTACTCGTTCGTAAGTTTGCGGCATTAATGTTGTTCGGAAAAATTTGTCACTCTTCAGTCTATATTTATGAAAAGCATCAGGATCAGCAAAATTAAGTCTTTGGAATGCTTCACCACTGACCAACGAATACGGCAACATATCGACAATCATCAAATCCATAATCGCTTTGTGCTATTCTCCGTGAAATTTCATGATCATCTGGCCATTGTACACATTTAGGTCTAGCCAAACTTGGAATGGTCGACTGGACCAGGGTAGGTTGATTACCCTTATCAGTTTCTAAAACCGCTAGAGAGACTTTAGTTCGTTTAGTTCATTTTTTATGTTCTCTAATTCAGACTGCCGCTTTAAAACTTGTCTGTGTTCTGTGCCATGGAACTTACTTAAATGCTGCTTCACTCCATATAGTGTTTGTTTTTTGGGTTATTGACTTCCTAATGAGAGCGACTTTTTGCAAACTGCCTTAGATAAATCATTTGTGCTCTTTTCAAAAAACTGCCAAATAGGATTTCTTTCTCTTTGAGACATTTCTATCTGAAACAGATAATTTTCAGTTTTCACTCGATAATCAAATATAAATTGAACTAATATTATTGATCTTCATTGTAATTATTCATTAATTACAGTAGTTTTATGAGCTTTTCTTTGCTGTTACTGAGATAATTGTGTAATATTCTACGCGTATGACCTACTGCAGAACCTGGTGTAAACTGATGATTTATTACTCTCCCTCTTATTTCGAAATAGAAATTATCAATAATTATAATATAGTATATCCAGAATACATAATTACTAAATACTTACCTTTATTTAATACGCACACTACCTAATAAATGTAATAAATGCGTGACCAGCTTGTCGGCGAAGATCAAGTGACGTGATGAAACGCGTACGGACACGAAGCGATCGCCCGACTACAACCGGACATATCCCGAGACCTTACGATCGTATGTTTCGGCCAATTTGCTGCCGAAACCGGAACTTCGACCGAAACCGGTTTTTTGGCCGAAACTTGGCCGAAAGCGAAACTTCGGTCGGTCTCTACTTTTGAGCATATTAAAGAAATAGAAAAAATCGGGTTCTACATGTCCGATGTCTGGGCTTTCTTACGCAAAAATCGTAAGGTCCGTAGCTCCGTTATCTTCGGAGGAGATAGAAATTGAATATCTATCAGCACGGTTGAGACCCAAAAAAGGCCAATTTTCCGACGTTTGAAAATTGTTTGTTCTCTTTGCCGTAGAAAAGTTATCAGCTTTTTAACGGAAATTAGTCATTTTTCAGGTTTATTCATTGAAAATTTGCAGAAAAAAAACTAAGATGCGGATCAAAAGCGGACCTGGAAAGTACGAAACGTCCATCATTTGGCTATCTATTCCGACCGATGACGAGTCAATATTTTGAGGAACGACAGAACGACTGCGGAAATCGTTCGGGCAATACGCGAAAAAACACCGTTTTTTTTTCGACTTTATCCGCCGTTTTAGATCGTATGTCGTCCTCGTAACTCGACGGTTCTTACTCGCTCGTAAAGCGCCGCGTTTCTAGTTTGCGAAACGGAAAAACCGCGCCGACGTCGGAACGCCCCGATTCAGACTCGAGATGGGAAGTGAAAAAAAACAAAAAAACACCGCTTAATATTGTCGATTAACGCAATTTACCTCCTCTGGGAAAAATGTCAGTTACGAGCATGTTCAACAGAAGAATTAAACGGATTAAGTGAGTCAAACGCGCATTTGGCAACGTTGTCCTTTTCCGGCAGCACTGCAGTGTGTTCATTTCGAGCGTGGTCCGTGTTTTTTGCGTTGCAGTACGGATAGATTAATCAGACGGGCCGGTTCGCCGGGCTGTGAAATTAGAAAACATTTGTCTGAATGTTCATATACCCTCCCCCAACCCCTACAACTCCCGCACGGGTATCATGTAAAACGTCAAAAAACCTATAAGACTTCATCTTGCAAACTAGTTAGTTTTTAGGGCGCAAACAGTCATTCCACGTTTGCTCACTAGGATCGTTGTGAATGTCCATCTATGGAGAAATCACTCAACTAAATTGCACGCATTATTGGTTGCATATGTTTTGTGAGACCGAGTGGTCCTTGTCTGTAGTTTTTATCTCTGACAAGAAAGTTGGTTGAATAGCAAGATCGCATCTGGATGATTATGTGTATTGGTCTGCATGTGTATAAAATCAGTGATATTTGCTGTGTGAGAAAATCATTAATGAATATGCTGCCTATGAAGTATATCTATTGGCTGTGCCCGACGGGTTATTTTTATGTTGTGCTTTCTGAAGAGAGGTTATGTTCAAAGTTATAAATTACGAAAAACTGGGGAGAATTACGGGAAATCATCACGGCGCCCGCGTTGTGTGTAATTCGACAGTCTACAGTGACTATAATTATTTCTTATCTCTCTCATTTTTGAAATTCAGCAAATTTATATAGGTAATGGATAAGAAAAAGTGGATGCGCAACTAATTTCTAGCTTTGAATCTCAATTAAGTGTATTTGAGACAAAAGCCCAATGTAATTATCATCAACACATGCAACTTACAGCTTAAACCTCCAGTAATGCCATCTCAGAAGCAGATTTTACATCACATTAGAGCCAAAGATTGACAACAAGCCTCACATGACGTTTAGGCAACACGTACGACTAAGTGCTAAGTTAATATCTTGTAGAAAAACCTACATAATGTCAAAAAAACAGCATAAAGTCAAAAAAATCGGCATAATTTCACTTTTCAAGATACGTGATACCCGTGCCGAATTTCAAATCCATCAATATTTTTCTCATAATAATCAGGTCACTCTGAATCGCCAGAAAAATAACGAAGTTTGATTGTTTTTTATTTTTTCGTTTTTGGCGTTTTACTCCGCCGCCACTGGACCAAAAACTACAAAGCTTTTTCGTACTTGGCATAGTATCAACGATGTGAGAAAATTTCATCAAAATTCGAACGGCACTTCGCAAGTTATAGACGGGTCAAGTATTAGACAGACCGATGGAAATGAGTGACATGGTTTTTCGTGAAAAAGATGCAAAATGCTCTCTATTGATTATAATACTTCCCCTCCCAGTGGCGTAGGAAGTATGAATGACAGTGATAGCTCAACGTATAAGAGTACCTTGTCATTAAAATCTAGCAATATATGTCAAAATTAGCTCTCTGTCCCGCGGTTTGCCTGCGAAACGTGTAGGTGGCACCCCAAAAAAGTAACCAAATTTCCAAAGCATGCAAGATGGCTGTCAATTCCAGATCCATTCAGACATTTTGGCGTGATTGAACAATAAACATCGACTTTTCCTCATTTACAATATTAGTACAGATTTAGTATTTCCACTTACCAGTTTGTTGCTTTTGTTGAAAGATTTGCCGCAAAGGGTGCACAGATATGGCTTTTCTCCAGAATGCGTCCTTTCATGACATTTCAGATCATGTGATCTAGGGAAGCCTTTTCCACACTCACTGCACTTGTATGGTCTCTCACCCGTATGTCTTCTCATATGTACAATCTGTAACAATGGCAAAAATTATAAATATTAATAGAATTATCAACAAACGAAATACATCTTACTGTGCAAGCTAGACATTGAACAATAGTATAACTCACCATATTACTAGAATTATTGAACTCTTTGCCACAATATATACAAAGATGTAGTTTAGAATTATCCTTAACTCCAGTATGAATGCGTTGATGGGTCTTTAGGTTGTCCAGTCTGTTGAACGCTTTGCCACAATCGACACATACGTGTCGCTTGTCCTGCAGTAAATGTATCTTCGTGTGACGTGCTAAATGGTCCGACCTAAAAAAATAACAAAAATACTGTCTGTTAGATAAACACGAGATCTGTAAATCAAGTGATGAGATGGGCAATGTAGCATAATAATTTGCTTTATCGAGATATAGTTAATTTTTAGGCGACCATATTAAGAAACTGTAACAATTAGGGATGTAACGGGTAGTAATTTCCGGGAACCGGCCAAACCGGGTACCCGGATCTTTAGGATCCGGCTTCATGCCGGGTACCCGGCCCACCTGCTTACACGCTCTCGGATTTCCTACTACTCAAACTAAAAACACTCAAGTTGAAAACGAATTTTTTTACACTTTTTTGCCAAACTGTCGGCCAAAGATTAGAATATGTAATCTTTTTTTGTCAAAGCGTTGGCAACTCTGCGAAAACCAGCTTGCCGTAGAACAAATGCACGGAGCAACGTGGATCTTTTGGGGGAAGACCCGACGTTGTCGCGTGAATCCCCGCGCCGAGAACAGGAGTATTGTTCTGTGGGTGTATTATTGACTATTACTTTTTCACTTTAGTTACTTACTATCGAGCTTACTATAGTATTATATTGTTTAAGGTAAAAGTTAAAAGTGTTATTAGAGAGTTATCGAGCGAGACTAGCCAATTTAAAAACGACCAAAGTGTGGGAACATTTTATAATTGATAATGAAGATGAATCAAAAGCAGTGTGTGGCACAAAAATTCTTCGGGGTCTTGGAAAAAAAGAAGAATTCAGACAAATTAAAATTACTTAGAGCTTCGAAAGACAATGGGACATAAACGGTTCAAGGGCAAAAAGAATACACCAGGCTATAGGAGAAATGATCGTTCTTGATAACCAACCTTTTTCTGTTGTGGAGAATAAAGGTAACATATTATTATTAATATTATTAATTATTTTTATATGATATTTGCACTTAAATTTTAAGTAACGAAAAAAGGTTTCTCGTTGACAATTTTTTTTGCAATATGGTTAGTTTTCCGTGTCATTTTATTTTAAACGTATATAGCTACACAATGAGTTGCTGTACTTTTTAAGTGGCCATATAAACTTATCGCGAATAAATTTCTGGATTCAAGAGATTGTTTGCTGTCCTGGACCTCCTGGAACGAAAGTATAGTGTACCCAGTCGGCCATATTTCAGCAAAACTGTCATTCCTGAGATACACGAAAAGTGTCAAAGTAGAGTAGCTAAAATGTTAGCAGATGCAAGATTTATTTCTTTCACAACAGACATGTGGACTTCTGATGTGAACAATAAGAGCTTTATAAGTTTAACTGGACATTGGATTTCCAGAAATTTTGAACAAAAACATTATGTGCTGAGTATTCGTGGTCTGGATGGCAGTCATGCAGGTGAAAATATAAAAAATGATTTACTAGAATTGTTAAGAAATAATAACATAGAAGTGGGCAGAGTTCACTTGGTTCTTCGAGATAGCGGTGCTAATATTATGAAGGCTACAAAATTTATGGGAATCAATAATGAATCCTGTTTTATACATACTCTACAGCTTGTAGTAGTTAACTCTCTTATAGAGCAAACATCCCTTATGGAAGTTGTATCTATTGCAAGAAAAATAGTGACTCATATAAACCATTCCTCTCCATCTTGAACAAAATTAGAAGAAATTCAGAAAGACGTCAACCTACTTATCAAAAAAATGGTTCAAGACGTTGGAATTCCACGTATTATCTATTAGAAAGACTTATCGAGCAGCGAAGGGCCATTAACTTGCTTGCCACGGAAGTTGATGCGGTTCCCTCTTTGACACCAAGTCAATGGGATTCGTTGGAAAAGCTTTTACGACTTTTACAACCATTTGAGCAAACTACCAAACATTTTAGCAGAGAATTATGTATAATATCAGAAGTGATTCCTACAGTTTTGTCATTAAGAAGGTTTTTAATGGAAATTAAGATTTCTGGAATAGAAATTTTACAGGAAAGTTTGCTAGAAAATTTGACTAAACGTTTTTGTGAAATTGAGAATAACAATAATTTTTTAATAGCTACTTTTTTGGATCCCCGGTTCAAGGATGCATGTTTCACGGACAAACATAAAACAACAGTTTATTTTTTAAAATATATTCAGAGTCTAACTGTGGATATGACACCTATTGACAACAGTAAAGCTTGCGTTACGTCAGTAGATTTATGTTCTGGTGAATCTGACGATGATGTTCGGCTTAGCACTTTATTTAAGACACCCGAAAAACGCAAGAAACCTAATGAGTCTGTTTGGGATATATTTTCGAATATTGAACATAGCCGCGACAGTATTGCAGGAACTTCCAAAAATTTAGAAACTGTGGAAACTCAATTCAATTCTTACTTGAAATTGCCAGTTATTGATCGTACTTCATGCCCTCTTTCATGGTGGCAAATTATTCATAAGAGTTTTCCCAAATTAGCGGATCTTGTTCAGATGTTTCTATCAGCTTCGGCTTCAACAATATTCAGTGAGAGGCTGTTTTCAGAAGCTGGAATGATTTTCGAAGAAAAACGAAGTAAAGGCCAACTGCAGAAAATGGCGAAATGCTAACCTAACTCCATCATAATCTTCCTTTACTTAATTTTAAATATTAGATTATGTACGTGTAAAATACTTTGCTGTTTTCTTTTTGTACAATTTAACTTTTTTAAATAATGTAGTTTTTATTTAATACCTATATTATTTGATATATTATGTATTAAGTTGTTTTTTACGGGCTCTTTGGCCTCTATTTTTTTCAATATTTTTTTTTTTCATTTATTCAGTCTACCAGGCGGGGTAGAATGATTACCCGGCAAAACCGAGTACCTCGTCAAATTACATCCCTAGTAACAATGTATAATCTATAATAAATTCGACGAATTCAACGATCTAATACGACTGAAACCCACTACCTACCTCGTAAATGTACTATCGCAAATGGAACACCTCAAAACCGTAATGCTCTCCTCCTCGTTACCGGTCTGGTGTACCTTCAGATGCCTGATGAGATGTTCTCCTCTGCTAAACGGCTTGTTGCACACCGTACACACGTACGGCTTGTTCACGTGGTCCTTCTCCACGTGGTGTTTCAGGTGCTCCTCGCTAATGAACGCTTTGTCACATTGGTCACAAGAGTGGGTGAGAACGTTACGATGGAGGGTCATGTGCCGCGTCAGATGGTTCACCCTTAAATAACAAAATCACGTTTAATATACTCTCCAGTATCCCATTTATTTCAACTAAATGAAACACCTTAAAACTATGCATTCAGATGTTAAAATAATGACAAAATTAATAAAGCTCATATGTAAATATCAAGGGCTCAAGCTCACAGTTCTACAGCCTGATATGCTTTTCCGTATATAAAGCATGAATAATTTTCTGAATAAACTTATACCAATCTGTAACTTGAAAAAATATTTATACGTAAAATTGATGAAAAAATAAGTCGTAAAGAATATCTTTGCTAAACAGTGCATTTATTGGTAAAATAGATTATACAAAATGAACTTTTACTCAAAACTAGTAACGTAACAAACAAAAGATGTTGTTCAACTCTGGACTCGTGCCACTTTTTCCCTGCTTTAAGCGTCTATTGGCGGGTCATCGACATATTCATCACTGCTGTCTTCTGGATGATCAAGAGATATTAACTGTTGATAAAATGCCCTGGAATCTGCTCTGTCTAGAAATTTGGTCAGATCCTGCAGATCCTTCCATTTCTTACTTTTAATTGGGATTGGGCCCTGGTAAAGTTTTCTCAATGTTTATTCTTCTCGTTTTTGTTGATCTTTTTTAGATTCCTCCAAATTACCTTATCAAATTTAGAACTAGCATATAGGCTCATGTATGTCGATTTGTGAAAAAATACGCGAGGATTATGTTTACAAAACTTGAGCATCCTGACTGGTCTAGTTGGAAAGGGGCACTACGTTGGATAAAACGGCGATTATAACGTACTCCAATCTTGAAATCAAAATTTTTGCCACAATCAATGACTTCAAATGGTGTAGGTTTCACACGGCAATTTTTCAATTCATCTCTCCAGTCATCTTTGGTTCATGAGACTCATATCTCTACCACACTCGAGGTATGAATGTCCCCTGATCGGGAATATTTCTTTCACAGTAGTAAAACGATTTTTCTTGGTAACCAAGTAATGCAAAACTCGAATCACTGTAAAGTTTTTATTTTGCCCTGCACAGGAGTCACAGAAAACGGCAAGTTCTTTTACTTCCATAGGCAGGATGTTATAAAAAAGTGATACAGCATAGAACAGACATTGTCAGCTCATTTCTTAGCAATAGATTCATTGTAGGTATAAAAGATAGTTTGTCAGAATGTGGATGTTAAAACTGATGAAATTTAGTTGCCGCTTATAGTAAACATCAATGATATTTGGACAGCGCAAGTTTTTTTGGTAATCCATCGTGATACTTTCGATAGCGGGGAACTTCGAGGCACGATTGCGGTATGTTCTCTTTAGACTGTAAAATCGCTCACTCCTTTTTTAGTAGTGGACCTAATTTACTACCTTGTGGTATACCAACAGAAATATTTTTTGAACTTGATAATGTAGATCCAATTTTGGTTTTTTGACTTCTGTCAATTAAATAGTTGAGAGCCATATTTTGTCGACTTGGTGGTGGAGCTCTATGCAATGTTTTTGTAATGGCATTATACAGGGTCCTGCACAAAGGCCGGACGGTTTTTAACAAATCACAAAATCAGCAATTCTTACTCAAAAACAAATATATTGACGGATTCAGGTTCACAATGAAATAGCGTTTGTCTCAATTAAGTGTGGAAAATCACATCAGCCATGTGGTGACCGTGTTTTACGATTCATTGCCAGAAGTTCGCGTAGACTTTCAACTTAAGCGAGTTCGGGGGCTTGTGCTGGTATAGACGAGCCTTGAGGTGTCCGCATAGCAAAAAATCGCAGATGGTTAAATCCGGGGACCGAGGAGGCCTATGAGCATCACCAAACCTATAAATAAAGTGACCATCGCCCCATCTTGTTGAAACCACACACGTCGGAACGGAACACGTCGTCGTCGTAAATCAGGCGAAAATAAGTTGGTGATCATTTCAACATAGCGATCCGAGTTCACGGTAACAGCATTGCCATTACCGTCTTCGTCACTTTTGGGGTGTGCAGCTGTCTTTCACGTAACTGTCGCGGATTTTCATTAGCGCCAATTCTGCTGGTTAACCATGCCATTGAGATTAAAGTGACCTTCATCACTCATGCACAAAATGAGGTTCTCATTTTGTTCGATAAGCGCTTCCATCTCACGTGCTAAGTTCATTCGTCGTGCGTAATCTCGAGGCTGTCACGGTTGCACAGTACAGTACACCACGTGTGCGAAGTGATTGAACCCAACGAAGAATGGTGTTTCGAGCAGGAACAGCTCGATTCCGCCGAATATTGAAGTGGCGACGAAACTCTCACTGTACAGCCGTGATAGACTCAATATGTTGGACAAAACTGTCGTACGCGAAAACGCGGTGCTCCATGTGTACTGGTAAAAATGCTAGGAACGCCCGAGTCGAACGGCACTCTCACCCGAATAGGCGCAGAGTACTAGCCGTTTCAAAAACATCCGTCTTCTGTGCCACACCCTGAACCATTTGTGAAATCAAAACCTCATCCAGAACGTTTTTCTGGATATGCAAGTGGTAAAATTAATATGAAGTATTCAATGATTACTCACCTAGCAAACAATGCTCCACATACATGACACACCTGATTCTTATTCCTAGGTTTCTTAGTGACAACATTCTCGGTATTTTCAGGCTCTGGCAAATTCCATTCCTCGTCATCTTCACCAGGCGGTTGCGCTTTCACAGGGTAAACTCCCTCTATTCCTTCTTCATTTGCACCTTCGTCAACTACAAACAAAATGAGCATATTGTGTTTATAAAAAACATCATTAACTGGCTTTAAAATTTACTTACACTCTTTCATTAACACGTCACTAACAGGCTTGCCTTCACTCTTTTGCCTTTCAGCTTCAGTACCTGTTTTTTCGATATCACTATCATCAGACATCGCGTGTTCAGCTTGCATGTGATGTAGAAAGCTTTTTCTATACTTGAATTTCCTGTCACAGAAATCACATTCCATAACCTGAAAAACAAGAACACTGTCAAACATACACTAAAAAAAAATATGAAACATATATGGGTCAAGTGGAAAAAAAACTACTTAAGCTAATTTTTGCCTTTCTATAATGTCTGCATTATAGATGAAGACAACGATTATTATGATACACAAAAACCCAAATGTTGCTAATATAAACATTTTGAAAAACGGAGCCTCAAGACTTAATCGTTCTAATCTTCAGGGTTTTATGATAACTTACCCTTTTTTCTTTGCCCTCAAAAGCAGCTTGAATGTGTTTCTCAATATCAGCCTCTTCAATTCCATGAGATTTCATGTGCCTTATGAGATGACTCCTTCTTATAAATGTTTTGTTACACAACTAAAAGCAATGTATGAGTAATCATATCAACACTTATTTTCTTTTTCATGCTCACCTTGCACATTGATAAATCTGAACCAGTATGCCTTCTCATGTGTACTCTCAATCCTAAATATGTAGTCATAAATTTGTTACATTCCTTGCATTCAAACAATGCTTTGTCATCATCTGATTTTTTCCTCTTTCCTTTCTTACCTTTTTTCTCTAAAATGTGAAAGATATTAAGTATTAATAATGGGATAATTTCAAATCTGTATTGTTGTGATAAGAGTTGGATTTTGCTTAACCCCACAAAACAATGCCAGGAGATCAAGCAAAACCACTTACCGGTACTCTTAGCCTTAGGCCCAGCCTTGGGCTTGTCCAATAAAAAGTCATCATCACTCTCATCTCCTCTGTCATCACCATCATCGCTGAATGGAAAATCATTGCCATTCATGACATCATCATCAAACTGTTCTGCAACTGCCATCTTATCAGAGTCAGGTGCAGACTCATTCAGCAGTTCCCTGATCTGTTCCTCACCATTTTCAATTTGTTCCGTCTTCACTTCTGTTGGGATGTCAGTCTCTTCCTGTTTTATGATTCTCTCATCTGCAACCTTATCACACTAATAAATCACTTGATTGTACTACCGATTAACATATTCTTCTTGAAGATGCCAAACCCTATGCCATATTAGGATGTTCACAAACAAATTCCAAAAAACTGACTCCTTTTAAGGAAAATATTGTTTATTATTAAACTTGACATCCAGATTCTGGAGAAAGATCATCCCTTAACCTCCCTCTTAATTAATCCCTAGACCTTGTAATCACAGAATTTCTCAACATCAGAACAGGAAATACAATACCTGATATGTATATAGTTGAGGATAAGTGATTGCCTGTGTCTTGGTACATATTTCTAACTGAATTGGGTATCTTCTGGTAGAATATGTTGATCAATTATTGTACTAAATAGAGAATTTTTCAGACTTGTCGGATTGTTAGCAAATACAACAGTGTTCCTACACCTGGGGTCCTCTAGGCTCCTTGAACTTGCTACTAAGTCATCTGGTAAATTTTTATATCAACATTTCATATGTCTTGCCATTTTAACGTATATGTGTGTATGTGTGTATATATGTATATGTGCATGTGTGTGTGTGTAGAAGTAAACATATTGTGGTTAAATGAATATGCGTGTATCTATGTACATATATATGTCCTCCTGTTTTTACAACTTTTATGGACTGTATCTGTTTTTATTGAATCATAATGTCATAAGTTGATGTTTTTCTGTGTAATTTGAACATCAGTCTTTTGTCAGACTGCTTTTTTGTATTAATTTTGTTTTTCTTTTGACTTGTGTAAACACGCTGGTGTACTTAACACAAATAAAGAATTGAAATTGAAAGAATTGAATCCATTGACTAACAAATTAGTGAAACACACATCACATTTCTTTCATAATAATCACCAACTGAATAGCTGAATTTATAAAAAATCATAATATAAGATATTATATCATCCATACCTAAAATCTCTGCCATTGTTTGCTAATGGCCACACATCACTTTTTAACTTGAAATTGAGTTATAAAACACCACAGTGCTTTGAAAAGAAAGTTTGTATCCCCATATGAAACCATAGTTATTCAATAACTCATTTGTTTTGCAAGATAAGAAGAAGAAATTTTGACTTGCTGAAATACAGTACCTAATGAAGAGAACCAATTTTTTCAAAAAAGTTTTTATGAAAAAATATGTTGAATTCAAAATTCAAGCTGTCAACAGTGATGTCAGATCCAGGGATAATTAATGCCAATAATCTTAACTAGAGATATGGGGACATCTTAAATTGTTAAATGAGTATTGCCATTTGTTCCTGATCTATTGGTGATATATATTTTGCGAAAACTTTAGGTTTAATTTGTTTTAACACCTCTACAAAACATCATGATAAATGATGATATCCATCAGAAGATACCCAATCCAAGTCAAAGTTGTGCCAGCATGAAAATAAGCATACATAGTGATGTCAAACACTATGACCACCACAACTATATACCTGTCAATGATCAGCATTGCTACCACTTGAATTATTCATGCATTCTTTTACATTGTTGAAAGGATGCAAAATTTTAGAAACAATTATGAAGTAGTTTGAGGGATGATCCTTGAAAGGTTAATGCAATATTTAAAATCAAAATTCTGCATACCACACCACAGCATGGAAGCCACAACACAACCTAGTTCCAATGTTTGGAACTTCGCAATTCCCCTAGAACATTTTGCTACAATACTAAGATTACACAGGGTACTGGGGCAGTTTAAAATACTAAAATTGTATGGATCATGGTTAGAAAAAAAATAGATACCTCATCATGTTCCTTAGAATGCTGATAAAGCTCCTGTGCAGCATCGAAAGTTTTCTCACACTGCTCACATGGATGTCTAACACCAAGCTTATCGTGAGTGCTAATGTGCTTCAGCAAATGATTGGTACGAGTGTACTTTGCATCACAAAATAGGCAACTCTTGACCTTATCACTAGCATGTTGTTTCATGTGAATCTTCAGGCCTTTCTTTGAGTACAGTACCTTATGGCACACATTACATTCTATCAAATCTTCCTTTTTATCCTTCTTGTCATCTTTTTTCCTTTTTTCTCTCCGATGGATAAGGGGAATTTCATCCTCTTCATCAAATAAGTCGTCAGGTACATCAGGATGTACTACAATGTTTTCTTGCTTAGTGGATGTTTTTGATTCTGAGGTGGTCAGTTTTCTCAGCCTGGAGTCGGATTTTTGACATTGTGTTCTGAATTCATAGCAAGTGTTGAGCTTGTCTGTACATACTTCACACAGGTTTTTTGGTAGGGAATCATCCATTTTAACCTTAAAAAATAGGTTATATTAAGTCTAAAACTGATTGGACTTTAACTTATCAAGTGCACATAAGGCAAAACAAGGAATTAAAGCTTTATATCATCAAATTAGCTAACTGCTTAATAATAGATGTTTTGAAATCCTCAAGAATATTCCAAATAAGTTCTGCATATGCAACAACTCATAAGAACTTTACTGGGTAACATATTATATATAAAATAGCCATAAGCAACATTTCCTCTAAATCAAATGGTTCGAATATAAAACATAAAAGGCAAATATCAAGCTTATAATCTGGTGTAACATAAACACATAGAAATCAACTCAGTAATTACTTAAATCTCTATATTTTAAATGATTTATAATTAGTGTGATAAGCCATTTGGAAATTATCTAGATAGGTCACCTAGGAGAAACATAAATATCTATTTATCTGTTACCTCAACTGAGGCACAAGCCACCAGCATTTCAGATAATAGAACTGCCCCATGATTAGCCGGATTTTTGCTTTCAAATATGTTGTGCATACTCTCATTTTGAAACATGCAACAGCGGCATATTTTGTCTATTTCCAAATCTGCATCTTCATTATTCATTTTTCTGAAAATGAAAATTTAGTAGCGACTGCTTTTACAAACACATATCTAGCATGTCAAACGGCTGCCAAACACAACTGTCAAAAACATGTCAATATTTTTGAGGTGCGATTTTGACAGTTGACGTGAGAAAGTGGAGCTCGAGAATGTACATACCATAACATCGTTGACACCAACTAGTATGGCCAACATGGAGTCCGCCATCTTCTATGTTTTAAGATGAACCATATAAAGTTTGGCAAACGGATCTGCAACAGCGAAAGGAATGCGACCGAAAATATTCGATATTGCCAAATTTAACTACAAAAAAGCAATAATAATAATAAAAGTAATTTCAATGATTTGAAAATCGATTTTTCACAATTCCAAAAAATAATAATTCAAAATACTGAGTATTTTAATGGGTTGTTAGCTCTATTTGTATTTAATAACTATTTTTTACTACTGAATCGTATTATAAGTAAACATTTTTCCAAAGATCTTATCGACATCGGTTGAGCTGGCAACAACCACCCGAAAGGTATATTGGACACCGCCTAAACGAATCTGATTGGCGGATATCCTCACATGTTTTGTCGCCATGAGAAAATTCGACTCCCTATTGGGTAGCGTCCCAGACAAATTTTTTGCTCCCTTCTTAGAATATCCATACTATTGAAAAGTCCAGTGGCGTAGGTTTTATCTCCGTTCATTGTCGTGTATGAGTGTTACAACTATTATTGTTAACTATTTATTGTTCTATTAAGTTTGTATGTTTAGTGCTGTGTGTTTTTGAATAGTTTAGTGTTTTGTTATTTGTTATTGTTATTCGTTTTAGTATTATTTTTTTAAAATGAACCAATTTACTCGCGGAAAGACGCTTCATAGCCAAACAAGAGAAGTGATTGCGAATGTTTATAGGTTAGTAATAATAATATGCAATAATTGTAGTTTTTGACGACTGAGTCTGAATATAAATAAAAAACAAGGAAATGCTAAGCTTACATTCTGATGATTATTTATAGGGTTTGCGATGAGGAAGCGGCAAACAATTCCCTCAAGTTGCCGCTTAAACGTAAGCTTGATAGGGTGTCCCTTTATACCGGAGTCGGAGTATCTTCTGTTAGGAAAATTCATAACGAAGATAAAGAAAGACTAGAAAATAACCCGAATAAAATGTTATCCAGTCCCGGAAAAAAAAAGACCGCGTCAGTCTCTTGTTGAGAAAGATGAAGATTTTGATTTTCAGATTATTAGACATTTGATAAACAGATTTTATATTGAATATAAAGTTATCCCGACAACTAGGGAGTTATTACAAAAGTTGCGAGAAGACTCAAATTTCCCCTATTCTAGGGAAGCACTCAGGAGTTTATTAAAATCAAATTTTTTTTTTGGCGCAAATGTCAAAATAAAAGAAAAGTTTTGGTGGAGAGGCCTAATATATTGCAATGGAGGTACAAATACGTCCGTGAAATACGTAGATATCGTGAAGAAGGGCGCAATATTGTTTATTTGGACGAAACCTGGGTGGACAATGACTTGACTTTCAAAAAATGCTGGCAGAGCGAAACTGTTTCTGGTGTAATAAGCAGTATAGGTTCTACAGGTAAGCAAAAATGCTATATACAGGGTGACTTCGAAGTTGAGTCATTTATTTTAACAGTGAGTAGATCTGATCAAAAGAAATGTTTTTTTCCTTTACCATTTTTCTGGTAAAATTAAAGTAACAAAGTTAGAGCCCTTTGGAAGTTTGAGTACCGCCCTGTCTCAATAATAATATCATGTACTCGTGTTTGGCAACAACGGATATAATCCGCCTTACCGGTTCATCGCATCGGAAACAAAAAAGCGAAAGAATTTGGAACGATGTTTTTGCAATTAAGTATTTTATTCAGTTCTGTTATACATACAGTCAGTGTCTGTCGGTTAGCGTGTGAATAGTGTCTGTTGCGTGGCTCAAACGAAATAAAAAATGGCACATGTTTATGCGGATCGGTTTCCCAATCGAGTGCAACCAACCCCTCGTGCCTTTGTTAATGTAGTACAACGGGCTCGTGAATCAGGTGACTTAAGACCTCACGGGGGACCTCACGATCAAATACAGGTCCGCACTGAAATACTTGTCGGGAGGATACTTTATAAAACAAGGTAAAAATTTTTTTTTAATTTTTTTTTATTTTTACACACATATTCTGGTTTATCTTCCTTCTACAATCATTATCTGAAAATTAATGACTCAACTTCAAAGTCACCCTGTATATGTTAAATTTAACTCTGATTTGTAACATATTATATAATCGTCTTGTATATTTTAGGTCGACTCATTATAGTGCATGCAGGTTCAGAAAATGGATTTGTCGACAATGCCTGTTTGATATTTAAGGCGGGATTAGCTACAGGCGATTACCACGGTCAGATGAATCGGGAAAATTTCACACGCTGGCTCACAGAAAAACTCCTCCCGAATATACCTGCCAATTCGGTTATAGTATTTGACAATGCTCCATATCATTCCGTCCAGGAAGATAAAACTCCGACAAAATCATCTTCGAAAAAAGATATAATGGCCTGGTTGACAAGGAAAGGTACTTATGACTCAAAACATGCATGTACATATCAAACTATACAATAAAATATTTTATAGGCATAAATCATGAGGCAACTGCCAGAAAATTTGACTTGTTCGATCTGGTCTTACTTCATAAGCCCCCTGACAACCAAAAAAATTATGTAGTTGATCGGATCATAAGATCACATGGACATACTCCTCTAAGAAGACCTCCTTATTTATGCGAGCTAAACCCAATAGAATTAGCTTGGGCAAAGCTTAAATTTCATAAAAGAAGCCGCAATACCACTGGAAACTTCAGTTTAACCGCACTGAAAGAAGTTACTCAGGAAGCGATGTCCTTAATATCCATTAATGATTGGCAGAAATTTTGTCAACATGCTAGGGACATTGAAGATAAATTTTGGGAAAATGATCAATTTATGGAGGAAATGGAACCAGTTATAATAACTATAGGGCAAGATGACGACAGCGAAACTGATGACGACAGTGACGATGATGATAATGATGAAGTTGACGAACATCAATTCTAATTCAATAGGTGAAATGTAATTTTGAAATGCTGTATAATGTAAGTATTATTTATTACAGAGATTATAAGTTAAACGGATATGAAATATGTTTAAAGTTCTTTGTTTCTACTTAAGCGACACCGATGCTCTAGAAATATCCACATCAACAGTCCAAAATTGCAACAATAGGAATCCAGAAAGATGCGGATTATAAAATAAAAATTAATTCTGGTCATGTTTCGGCTTGTGGCACTTTTTAAAGTAAATGAGCATATTATAAGATCACGGATGTATAATATATATATATATATATATTCTCAAGGTAAAAAACCACGTTAAGTATCTATTTGTATTTGAAAAATATATTTTATTTACGGCTTTGACAAAAACGCTAGCTTGATTTAGGTTTTAAATCGCGCAGTTATCATGATTTTTTGAATTTTGGCAATTTTGGGAAGTGAGTAGACATTTTTCCGTTTGTTGAAGTGTAGAAACAAACTCAAGTGTTTTTTACATGGTGTAGATTGTAGAGAGCAGCTATTTTTGAGTTTACCCGAGACTTTATTTATTATTATGGACAATGCTCCATATCATTGTGGGCTTATTGAGATACTCCACAAATTTAAAGTGAAACATAAACGTATAGTTTACTAAATTTAAACCAATTATGAAATAATCCCAAACTTTTATAAAATACCGCACGCCGCTGGCATTTTATGAATGAAACCAGCCATGTTTTGCTTTCCCCTCACCGATACCCCGATGTTGCAGATCCGTTTGCCAAACTATACAGGGTGTTACCATTGATTATGTTACAGAACGTTGTCGGAAAGCTTTGAGGGTAGATTCAACTCGGAACGAAAAAATCCTCAAAATAAAAGTCTCTTTTTAGTAGAAGCAATCTCGCCCGTCATTTTTTGCATGAACTTGGCGTACGGTTTACTCTTTTTTTATAAAAAATAGAGACTTGCAGTCTCGAACGTCCCTGATATAGTAAGGGGATAATGAGGAAAATTAGTAAAAGAAATGAAGTCCCCCTCTAGATGGTTAAAGCCAATGATGCCTTTTGGAGTAAGCAGAAAAAGGCAGAGAGGAGAAAGAGAAGTGTACGCCTATGAGTTCTGCTGCTAATCAATTAAAAACTGGTTCAAAATACCTATATTCTGTATTTTTGCGCAGGAATAAAAATCTTGAGTGATGATTTACAATTTTTTGTTAAGGGTCCGCTTTTGCCACATATTTTTCAAATCAATATTATGTAACGTTTTTTGAAATTACTTTAATGTTGGTTTCCAACTAATATCTATTGACGTTCGAGTATGATTAACATTGCAAAAGTAAACGTTGTGCGTTTTAAAACGTAGGTACTTCGAGTGAGTCTTCGTATTTTTTTATTATTAACTGGGCCCTATTTTGGGAATTTAATTTTACCAATGTGCTTTCCTTTTCTAGTACGCATACAACACCTGGTGGTCTCATGCATCATAAAGTGTTGCACCGCTAGACCGCTTTGTGTTATCAGTATGTCTTTCTTATTAGTTTTGGTCAGTTTTTCCAATGGTTTTTAGAATAAAGCATTTACGTATGTAACCTTAGTTACCGAGAACTAAATCCCTATGCCCACCTAATTGTAGTAAAACTGGCCGATGTCCCATTGTTACGATTCTTTTTTGTTTTAATGAAACAATAGAAGATCCAATTCGCCGGAAATCACGTACCGCTACGCTTCCTATACGACAATCAGTCTATTACGAATCGGCGTGTATGTCGGTATATCATATAGGTAATACCTATTAGATACTCGACCTTTTTGTATGATTGTGGTAAACGGTATATTGAGTGGATATAGTTGATTATAATATGGATATATTTGTGACCTTTGTGCAATTGTGGTAATTTTAATAATGGTAGGTTTTCGACTGGGCTTCATTTGGATAGCTTTAGGAGTAATCATCAATTGGACGTTGCGTTACTTTGCCCCAAGCATCATGAGGTCTTTCTCCTTG